CTCTCTTGAATTTTCATAGTGAGAATGGTTGACGTTTTTCCCACTATTAATGTTGGGATGAAAGTAAAATCGGATGATTTGATCATAGAATAGGATGTGAAACGGGATTTGAAAAGCAGTCGTAAATCCTGAAGATAGCCAGATGCATATTGTTCCGAACCACAGGAATGATGCTCAAACACTTATCCACTTTTGTATAACTAAGTGGCCAGCCAGCAATGTGAAGTGCTTTCAGATGTCCTCCTGACCTGAAAGACACTATATAAAAGGTAAATTGTTTTGTAAGCCTTTCATCCTCCTCCATCAGAAATGTGGCAATGTTGCATTTACATTTGTGTTTCAAATCATTTTTTATGAGTAAAAATTTTTTTCATTTTTTAAACATCTGGTCCTTAAATAATGTAATTTTGTTTCCTGAGAGCTATATGCATGAGACTCTCAAACAATCTGTTGACTCCACAGAAAGGCTAATTTGCATATGTTACACAAAATCCTTTCTGTACAAACTATCAAGGTTCTCAGCTTGTAACCTTATATTGGGGATTCGATTACTATCAAAATAGCTCATTTTAAGGGCTATTTGATTACCTTCCTCTAAACTACAACATCACCTATTTTAACAGGGTGCCCTAAATATTTTTCCAACCATTTCTCATCGTATTTGAAAATAAAATCACAATATTTTATTTCATTGGACCCAATATCTAAAATGTTTCAACGTTGCTGTTGTACCATAGAACAGCACAAGAGGAGATGGCTAAGCTCAACAACAGCAAAACTTGCATTTATATAGTGTCCTTCACGAGGGACAGTATCTTGGAGCGCTTAATGGTGGCCGAGTCTGAAACCAAGCTGGGGGGAGGGAGGAGGTGACTGTAAGCTTGGTCTTCAGTCGTGATTTAAAAGAGCGGAAGCTTATGTCTGTGCTGATACTAGCTCCTTAGATGGGAGCTATCTACAGCAATCCCATTACTGTGCTTTCCGCCCGTGAACTTGAATATTATTTATCTTCAAGTATTTATCCCGTTCTTTTAAACTCTGGTGTGAACTCATTTTCAACATCAATCAAGAAAAGGCATTCCATAGACGACAACCCATTGTGTGAATTTCCCTTGACCTCCCATTTGTTTGCTCAATTTCTCTCCTCTTTCTTTACTGACTGGTCAATCAGTGGAAATAGTCTTTATTAAGAATCAAAAATTCAAGATCCTTGTCCTCACGTTGCAATCCCGGCACAACCTCGCCCACCCTACCTCTGGTACCTCCTGCAACCGTTTCAGCCAGGCTGCCTGACCACTCCCTCCGCTCAGCTAACAACGACCTACTTCATGTCTCCCTGCTCAATCCACCCCACAATTGGTGGATGAGCTTTCACTAATTCTGCTCCGCTCTCTGAAACTCCTTCCTGGAGTCCCTCAGCCCCAGGCCTACTGTCAAAAACCACCTTAAGACAGTGCTTTCAGTCACCTTTCCATACCCCTCCCAGCTCAGGTTCCCAGTCAGTTGTGTGAAGCAGTTTGAGATGTCCTCGTGACATTAAAGGCGCCATATAATTGTAAACTGTTGTTTATAGATCCTATCTCTAAAAAACAGTCCCAGTTTTTCAAGATGGATTTCAGCTTGTGCTGGATTCTGTTTCTTGTGATTTGAGAAAGTGAAATTACATTAGTTAAGATTCCTCATTATAAAGCTAATTCCATTCCGCAGTTGAATAAAACAGACATTTTGAAGGAAATCAGATATTTACTGATAAATTGGGAACCAATGATCTAACCTGATCACGGCATCAGAGTAAATTGTATAGGAAGTTACACCATAGCATTTGTATCAACTTCATGCATAACCTAGAGGATCTAGTCTGCACAGCTATTCAACTTTACCAACTGAGCCATAGAGACGAGCAAAGTCTGTTCCGTGGAAGAGTAATGCACAAATTGAGCAAATGGCCCAAAGGGTCTTTTTCATCATTTAGCTCTGATAGAGGTATTGGTCAGGGATCATCAAACAGATTGGATACCCCTGCCTCAAAGCTCAGTGTGAGTGATGTACCTTCTCTTTATTGTATTCCCCCCTGAGCAAGTGGTGAGAAATGTTAAACCTTCACACTGGTGCAATACAACAGTAAGAATAGAATCCATCTTCATTCGCTAACGGAGGTCATAATCTTGTGATTGAGCAAGAGTCCTCTTCCTGAATGACTAGGTTACTTGTACACAATGAAAAGTAAGAACATTAAACCGGAAAGAAATATTGTGGTCTGTAAGACCAGTACTGAAGTTGTCTGGTATCCAGGTAAAGTAAGTAATTGGGCACCAACCTACTGGGTCAGAGGGTTGTAGGTTTGAGTCCCAGGGCTGTCTATCACAATAATTTACCTGTCACTGTTGGGAGCCAGATTCATCTGTTTTAAAGACAGGTTGGTGGACAGAATGTTTCATTACCATAAGAAGATCCATCCTACAGAACAAGGGAAAAAACGTGGTATTGCCATCTCCTCCGGACACAGACACACCGAGTAATTTATCAAGTGAGGTCAAACCTCCATCATTGATTGTCACGGAGAATGGAAGTCAGACTTCCCAGCAGAGAAACACTATACTTGGTAACACGTTATTTTCTGGCAGAAAAATAAAAGATTGGGGCTACAACTAAGAAATATAGCAAAGTGGTGACCAATGGACATGTTGCAGTGGACTAAGACAACAATCTGAACCATTACCTTGCATCTTTCCTTCTTTTCACCATCTTGAGCATTCCCTTCCATTGATATATTGATGAGGTTACCATGGGCGGAGTGAAAAATGGAATGTTCTAATATAAATGCAATAGACTCATGTTATATTAGAAAACATTGGCCCATGATGATCAGGGTTAGTGTAGGCAGGCATTACTGTATTGCCTCTCTGTGTTAGCCTGGCTCAGTGCTAGAGCTCTCGCTTCTGAGTCAGAAGGTTGTGGGTTCAAGCTCCATGCTGGGACTTGGAATCATGTAGTCAAACCCGACGCTCAAATGCAGTGCTGGGGGTCTGTGTTGCATTGTTGGAGGTGCTGTCTTTTGGTTGAGATATTAAACTGAGATCCTGTCTGCCTGTTCAGGTGGACATTAAAGATCCCATGGTGCTATTGAATTCAAAAAAAGGAGTTTCTCCCAGTGTCCTGGCCAATAAATCCACCCAATTGTTTTCTAAATTGCTGTTTGTGAGACATTGCTGTGTGCAAACTGGCTGCTATGTTTCGCCTACAAAATATACAGTCAATCCACTTTACAGTGTATTCTGTGAAGCGCTTTGAGGCGTCTCGAAAACATGAAAAGGCACTATATCAAATGCAAGGATTATTATTATTACGTCAAGAAGATGCTTTTTAGTAATTAAGTTGTTCATAGTACACTTTGGTTAATTTTGTATTTTATCTCTTGCAGGATTATCGCTGAAAGCTTCTGTCTATTATACTCCATGTTCAGAGCCCTTGAAGTTAACAACTCCAACTTAATGCTAATTGTGGATCATTTTAGTGATTTTTTTTTGTTGTATAACAAAATTCCTCATGTTATAAAAAGTGTCCCTAAAGGGAAGCCATTTTGAGTTCAGTTTGACTCTTGCCCAGGAAGCAGTTGTTTTGTGATTGACAAGTCGCTCTGTTGCCTGTACTTTTTCTACTTAGCGCTTCAAATTGTTTTCATGGGTGATTGAAGATAATAGTGTAAGACGACAGCCTGTCGCTGTGATTTTATAAACCTCAGGTGAAGCAGAGCTAATTTTAATCACGCAAACTATGACCAATTTTTTTTCAAACCAAGGATAATTTTCATCAACATTTTGATGGAAGTAATTGGATAGAGTAATAGGAGAGTACTGTACGCTCGGGCAAAGAAAATAAACAAAGTCAAGTGAAGAACTGCATCGAATATCTCCTTCTTAGATTAGTCATTATGCCATCAATCGCCCTAATTATTGATTTAGCCAAGTGAAATCTCGAGAATAAATTCTATTGCTATTTCCTCTGTCACGATGGCAGCCAAAGCTCAAATTTATTCAACACACAAATATGGCCAATGATTCACTCCGTGAGTCACATCTTCCATACTTTGGAGGCTCAAGATATTCTGTTCCAATTTTGGGAAGCCTGTTTCTAACAGAACACTGATCTATCTCAGAGGTTCAGAGAAGAGCAACAATGATTCCAGGGAATAGAGGACTATATTATAAGGGATATTATAAAGAGAGGCATGTAGGGCTGAAGTGCTTTTGAAGTAGAAAAGAAGACTGGAAAGGCATTGTCCTAAGTCTTTAAACTGTTGAGCGGTACAGATGATGTAATCAAGCTATTTGACTAAAACCATAAGGGCAGAACTGGAGGACACCCATTTGAAATTAACAAGCCTCAACAAGACTGCAGATCAGAAATAATTGATTTTCCCACCAAGTAATCAATACGTGGAACTCGTAACAAAAACAGTTCATGTTGTGGCAATTAACTCCTTCAGAAATAAACTGGAACAAGTGTCTGACTGGGTGCAGTCCCCGAGGAGATTGGAAGAACTGCGGACTGAAATGAACAGAGAATATGATGGTCCAATGTCTTATCTTAAATCCATCCAGGTACAAGACAAGGTCTTCTGCAGTGGTTATGAGTAGACCATTTCAAACCACAGCATGTCATCATTCACAATTGGATTGGTTTGTATGCTCTATCTGTTCCAAAATGTGTTTTTGGAACAAAATGTAATCTATTTCAATTTTGTTTGTGGTGGGTATATTCAAAGCCTTTCAAAGAATTAATGGATCAAATGGCCTTCAACTGTGTGCTACATTTCTCTGGTTCTAAGGATTCAATGGACAAAAATATAACAGCGCTGATTCAATTATTTCACCCTGAATTACATTTTATTTATTCAAATCCAGTAGAGTCCTACATGACAATATCCCAAATAATAATAAAAAAAGTTCTGACGAAGGGTCGTGGACCCGAAACGTTGACTCACTTTCCTTTCTGCATAGATGTTGCCTGACCTGCTGACTTTTTCCAGCTCTCTCTGTTTTTGCCCCAAACAATAATGTCACTTTCAAACGCTGAAAAAAAAACATGCTCTGTCAATGGTACAGGACTACTCGGTATAAACGGAAAGTATATTAATACTAATAATAATCCTTGCCTTTGATGCAGCGCCTTATCACATCATTGAGACGTCTCAAAGTGGTTCACAGAATATACTGTAAAGTGGATTGACTGTATATTTTTGCGGGCGAAACGCAGCTGCCAATTGCGCACAGCAGTGTATAATTATTTAAGTATAATTATTTAATTTCTTCGGAGCTGACAACCACGGAGGCCACAACCATCAGCCCTATGACGAAAAATTAGACTGTGTTGAGAAGCAATCATCTTGGTACGATCTTTGAGTTACAGCCAGTTAAAGGATGACTCTTTTGAAACACAGTCGGTAGCATCTGACAAAAGGTATCACGTTTTAAATCTTGAAAGTCTATCATCAGTGCCATTTAAAGAATGCTGAGCGCTGTTGTTTTTATCACTTAACTGAGAGCACTGAAATCCCAGAAGTGCTGAGCAAGGTCACATTAAGTTCTGCTACGGCACAGTGTACTGACATGCAAAGGTATTATTCTATAATTGAGGTGATCTGTCAAGGGGCTGCAAATGAAAGGGCAGCAATTGCTTAGCTTGGGTTTTGAGAAGGGATTCTGAGCATTGTTTTTCAACTGGTTCAGTGTTAACAGTGATGAGCAATGAAAGTGATATTGCAAGGACTGGCTCAACCAGGATAATGCACGTGACTTAATCGAATCCCTTGCCATGGGTTTGTCTACTAACACACAGTCATTCCACTTCACAGTAAAATCCTGTGAAGTGCTTTCAGATCTTGCTATTCATGTGAGGTAGGTATTCTCGAAAGATAAACTCAAAGGGAATTTCTCTCTCCTAGTTTCCTGGACAACGATTCCTTCCCCCTCCCCCTCCCCAATAAAATTGGTCATTCATTTCATGACTGTTTGTCAGTCATTGCTGTGTGCAAATTGGCTACTTCGTTCACTTACAAAATAAAGAGTCGCTATACTTAAAGTAAAAATCCTGTCAGCGCTTTGAAATGATCTCCTGACGTGAAAAGCGCTATACTTAGGATAATTATCATCAAGTTTTTACAAAATGTGATTATTTGAATCATACATATAAATTGGGTCTATTTAGCATAATTGAGAAGGTAGCATTAACTGTTTTCACTCCTCCGTCTTTTACAAACAAGTGAGATACTCTTTTTGATTTATGGCAAAGCTCATTTTCCAATTGACTTAAATTGCTACATTTAATAATACAGCTCATTAATATGCTACGCCTAACAGCACAACGAATATGAATGTACATTCTACATAGTGTGAAGACATCATTATCATTGTTAAGTTATTGAAAGTTGAATTGGACACTGAACACAATTGATGGTTAACTAGACTTTGGACCATTGGACCTTTTTCATCTGTGATTTTGTGAAAGACATGGTAGGAAACATGGATATTAGCTACACCTCGTGGGAACAGGATTGAAGAATCTTGTATTAATTGGAGAAAGAGGGGTTTGTCTCTACGAACAATGGTTTTACCATAGGAAAGGGCTGGGAGATACAGGTGACTATATGGCTGGGAAACAAGGCAACAGGTGGAGCAATACAGAGAGATACACAAGATTGTTTCTGGTGTGGTAGAGCGAGTCTAGGATCTTGTATAGGATTTCCTTCCAAATGGAAGGGACCGAGAGTGAAACAAGCGGCTATGAGGCTATAAACGGCTTTAAACATTCCACCTTACCACTGTGAGTTCTCCTGAGCACCAGCAGCCTCATTTGACACAAATTCAGTTTTGAAATTGAAATCCCAATTGGACCCCTCAGCAACTGAGCAGAGTTCCAGAGGGTCGGCTTGAGAAGTCGAATTGGTCTTTCGAAAGGTTCCCATCACTCTTCTGTGTCGTCAAGTTGCCTGGGACACCTACAGGACAATAAAGAGAGCAGTTTATCTGGGAAAGATATTTAATACTATGTGATGTCGCGAGTTACACACTTATTGTTTGACAAGGTTTTAAAGAATGCTGCAACGCTATATACCTGAGGCCCTGAAATTGAACCTGCTTTTTAAGAACTTTGAAAACACGGCTTCCAAATTGCGACTGAATTAAATAATTTCCCACGATTCGGTGTGACGTTACATTTTAAGAGGCTAAGGTTAAAGACAAGGTAGAATTTTGGGGGTTTTCTGTGTTTTTAAAAAAAATGCTAGCAGACCTAATGCGGAATGATGAAGAAACAGGTTTCTTTGTATGAGCGACTAAGCTCTCAATGACATCTGAAGGACTAGGCCGAGTACGCACAAATTGCTATTCCTTTGTGTATCTAGTCATGAACGTACAATAAAAATCCATTCTGACATGCCGCATAATATAGATCAAACATTGCAGAAACTCAATCCGCATTCTGAGTTAGAGTTAGAGTTAATTGGAGTTAGAATATTCGCACATGAGAGCCTATTACTGAAATTCAAGATAAAATCATTACTCATTTCTCAGGAATGTTTACTGCGCGCGATACACAAAGCTGCGTGCTGGAAATTTTGTGCTCAGGCTTCTTCGTGTATTATTTTGCGCGGGTTAAAAAAAACACTCGCTGAATCGTTTCCCAGCAGTGACACTTCATAAGGGAGAGAAAGGTTGAACCACAGCACTCCTGTTTTATTTCAATAACAAGCCTTGCATTTGATATACCCTTATCATTTAGTCAAAGAGCTTCACAGGATTTACTGTCAAGTGTAATGACTGGGAACTTTGTAGGTGAACGTAGCAGCCGATTTTACGCACAGCAAAGTACCACAAACACATCAGGAAGTGTATACTCTGGAGTTACTGTTGGTCAATGCTCTTTCCAAGTGAGCTCAAGAACTGTTTTTATTATTATTATTATTATCACACACCAGTTTAATAAGCTTCTCGAGTGCCAAAACGACTAACCCTTAAAGTGCCAAAGGGCCACCAAAGCCTCCTCTTCCTGAGTTGTTTGGAACTTGCACACTGCACTAGCCTTGCTAATGCTTATAATCGGGCAGGTATTTGGTGGTAACGTTGGCATGTATAATTTCAACAATTAGTGTTCAAAGTTAGGAGGGGTTTGAATAGAATAAATAAATAAATAGAAACTATTTTCACTGGTCGGTAACCGGATGACACAGATTTAAGATAATTGCCAAAAGAACCAGATGGGAGATGAGAAGAAGGTTCTTTTTACGCAGTGAGCCGTTACAATCATGGAATCCACTGTCTGAAAGGGTGGTGGAAGCAGATTCAATAATAACGTTCAAAAGGACATACAGTGTACTTGAAAAGAAAAACTTTCCAAGCTGGGGGAAAGAGCAGGGGAGCGGAACGATTTGGATAGGTCTTTCAAAGAGCTGGCACAAGTATGATGGGCCGAATGGCATCCTTCTGTGCTGTAAGATTCTATGACATAAGACAATAGTTTAAACACAGGTTTTGGCTAAAGAAGACTCTTCCGCCCATCAGATCTCATCCTTCCATAATACCCGCCCACCTTACCATCTTTTCATCACAGCATCCACACCTTTCTTGAATGAGTCAAGTGTCCTGACCTCCACCGCAATCTAGTTCCAGTCGTTAATTACCTTCTGGGTAAAGAATCCGCTTCCTGATATCTGCCTTGAAATTGCCCTTTGCAACTCTAAACCTGTGCCATCTTGATCTGTTGCTCCGGAGTATGTGAAAGTAACACCAATTAATTGTAAGTCAAATGATAGATTACAAAGCTGCCATCCATGTTTATTATGGATAAAACTGTTTTGAATAAGCTTCCTTGCCATTCCCTAAAACAGATGAAGGCACTTGATTCACACAAACAACCTGCAATAGTGACATTTATATGGTTGACTGAACAGGATCATTACAGATATGATCAATGGAAGCGTTCTTCTATCCAAATGCCAGCTACTAATGGAACTCAAAGGAACAGAAAACCGAGAGTCTCAGAGGTTAAAGGAGTGACATAATTCACGGAGGAAAGCTGTAGGATTTGGGGGGCTGATGGCACCATTTTTTCTAACAAAAACACACATTTAGGTGGAAACGTGTTCCATTTCTAAACAGTTATTGTGCTAATGATCGCATTGAATCTGCTGTGAAATCTCGTACATTTCTTTCCGTGGTCATGGACGCAGAGTAACAATTTTACAAATCTTGCCATTGATATTGTTGCCACAATCTGTCTGCTTTGTAAGCCTGTGTACTCCAGGGACTCACTGCCTGTGGCAGATCAGCCAGCCTGGCTCGTCAGCAGGACTTGGAAATAAGGACTGGTCACAGCAATGATCTTCCCGCTCAGCTCCTATTGACCCTACAAGTGAAAGCTTTAATGGGTAGAGTGGTCCTAGCTGGACAAGCAGTGGGAATGCTTACCAGACAGTGCTATCAATGGCAAGCTATGCTGTTTTGGTTGGTTAATTGGGAGTTCCCCAACTTGCACTCTGGGCTCCCCAAGCCTTGGCTCTTGCCAACCTGTAACTCAGTAGTTAGAGCACTCGCTTCGCAAGCGAGAGATCTGGGTTCTATTCCCGACAGGGTGAAATGTTGGGCAAGTTTCCTTACTCCACACAGCTCTGTTTACCTAGCAGTAAGTAGGAACCCGGTTGTTAGTCGATTGGCGGATGCCTTTTCTGGGGGTAATAATTCCTTCAAAAAAAATAATAAATTGTTTACTCAATCCACGACTATTTGTGGGATACTTCTGTGCGTAATTCGCTGCCGCGTTTTGCCCACAAAATACTTTTAAGATTTAAAACGTGATCCCTTAGAGGTGCATCCCTCTAAGGGGAGACTGTGCCTTCGATTCCAGACTCAGAGAAATCTCCATGTGTAGGTGGTATATATATATATATGCAGAACACTCAATACCATTTCGATGTTCTTAAGTGTGATAATGGGTTTCTGCATGAGTCAGACACACCTGGCCGACTGAAAAATACAGCAGACGTCAGAGGAATAAGCAAGCAATTGTTGCAAGGAGAATCAATGGACAGTGGTTTTAATTGACAAAAACTTTTGGAACACTCATAAAAGACTTCTACTTTCAGAATGAGTGCGGGCTTGTATTTCCCTCAACTTCTCTGAATGTTCCAACTGGTACCATCTCTATGGTAATAGCTTAAGTTGTTAAACTCTGTTTCAACTGGTGAAAGTTTAAGTGGCGGATTTTGTAGGTGTAACACACTGAAGTGTAGATGAATCTAGATGATTTAAATTGTTTTAAAGTAACCTCACGTACACATATTTACACACCAACTCTCACACACCCTCTCACTCGCTTTTACACATACACGCACCTTAAATACACACACGCGCACTTACACACACAGCACACTTGCAACTATTTTATTAGGAAACGCTATATACCCTGAGTGTAGGGCAGTATCAATGTCATTGTTGTTTCAGTACCTTGGAAGTCCTTTCAACATGAAACAGTGTAATTTTGTTGTTGTTATCATTGTTAGTGTTGTTGTTGGTATTGTAGGATAAACCCTATTTCCTGTTCAACAAATTACAATATTTTGACCATATTTACTGAGTTCAGATGATAGTGCTGTATATTAACACCGCTTCCAATATCCAAACTCTGACTTTATTGATTTCCCCAATTTGTCTCTGTGCTGAAACATAAAATACACATTTTCAATTAGTAGTACTTCCCGGAATAAAACTGATGAAAAGCACCTCCTGAATTCACCCACTATCTGAAAATACATGAGCCCCTGCGTATCTTACTTTGGTATTACTGTAATTCTGAAAAATTCATCAACTGCAAATTACGATGCTTTTCATGGTGTGTTGTTGACAGCGTTTTGTACACTTTACTCATCATATCAAAGGTCTTTCGAATGAAGCTTTCTATGGTGCATGATGACGAAGGGAACAGAAATGAGTCGGAATCCAAAGAATGGAAAATTCCCAGTTTAACATGGTAGATTAAATGGGGAAATTTAACTGGGTAAACGTGGGAAATTAAACTGGGAAATTTAAAACATCTATCATATTAAATTGGTAAAATGCAAACCACTTCCCCACCCAAAGTAAGTTTACTTGGTTTGTGGGTCACTGCTGCGCAAAATTGGTTGTCGCTCTTCGCCCAACTTTACAATATATCCTGTGAAGCGTTTGAGACATCTCAACGACCTGATAAGGAGCTTTACCAAATGCAAGGATTATTATTATTAGATAGTTATTTTCAGAAAAGATTTCATCATTTGAGCTTTGACTTTTGTTTGGACATGATGAAAAGACAGAACAAATAGGTAAATTAAATATCCTAGGCCCAAAAATAAGTTACGTCATTCCACGATCTGGCCCGCTTCCCAGCTAGATGCAATACAACATTATCTGAGCTGTCAGCACCTATTGAGCTCAAATAATTACTTTATTTTGTGAGTTTCTAAGTCTATGAGGGTTTGAAAAACTTGTGTAATTACATACGCATTACTCATTCGGCTGAATAAAGGTATTATTCTGAATATGACAATTTGAGAGAAAAGCACTTTCTTTAAATGGACCGTCTGAATGCTTGCAATTAAAATCAATATGCATTCAATCAACGTTTCACAGTTTTAGGGTGAATTTGATGTTTCCGTGGCGATAGATAATGATTGCACTGAGGGGAATAATGTGTGCTATGTATTCAATGATAGCATAAAGCACTGAAAGACAAGGTACAGAACTAAATAGATTCGCTGTGAAGCTCCCTTTACAATTCCCCAATAATGTGCCATTTCCAGAATCTTCGAAGAACAAACCTCTCCTGGGTAACAATTTTATTTGGTGCATTTCTTTCACCCACAAAATACACACAGTCACTGCACGACATGTTAGCGCTGTTTCAAATGCAAGGATTATCATGATTTATCTCTGTGAGCATTGTCCTATTTGCTCCAACTTACAAGAACTTTTCTTCAATTGATCTACGCCATTGGGAATCAGATCACTCCGAATGTATTTCATTTATAATCCTTAGCAGCCTTTAAGGAGAAAAGATTAACCTGGGTTGTCTTCCTAAAAATATGTTGGCTTGGCACAGTTGAGAGCGCTCTCAAGAAGGTTGTGGGTTCAAGTGCCACACATTGAAATATTGGGCTAATAGTCTGTGCTGCATTTTCAGAGATACCATCTTTCAATGACATGTTAAACCAAGGTCCCGTCTGCTGGTTCAGGTGGACATCAAAGTTCCCATAGCACTATTTAAAAAGAGAAGGGAGTTAAAAAAAATGTCACTTAATGGCCACGCCTGGGACATTGCTGTGCGCAAATTGGCTGGTACGTTCACCTCTGGAGTCCTGTAGCATAGTGATTAGCATGCTCGCCTCACAAGTGAGAGGACTCAGGTTCGTTACTCCACAAGCGTCTGTTTATCTCGCAGTAAGTAGGAACCTGGATGTTAGTCAATTGACGGATTGCTTTTCGGGGGTAATAATTCCTCAAAAAAAAATTTGGTCACTCAATCCACAATTGTTTGTGGGACACTATTGCATGCAATTGGCTGTCACATTTCACCAACAAAATACACAGTCAATCCACTTCACAATATATTCTGTGAAGCACTTTGAGATGCCTCAACGATGTGATAAGGCACTGTATCAAATGCAAGAATTATTCTATTATTATTACCTACAGTACACTTCACAGTAAAATCCTGTGTAGCTCTTCGAAACATCTTGACAGCAAGATAAGGCGCTGTATCAAATGCAAGGAATATGGTTAGTGCATATATCTGTAGATTGGATTTGCATATATGCAAATCCATAATTAGTCGAGTGGGGTAAAGAGGACACTATAATTATTGTTCTAATTACGAGCAAGCAGATGCTTTAGCAGCAGTAAGATTTCTCGTGAGGTAAGCAGTTCTGAAAAGTGCAGGCTTTAGGCTGTTTCTGCCAATGTCACCTGTGTCGAAGGATGACTTGGAGGAAGGGAAAAATCGCAGTTCTCAGCAAAAAAAATCTTGCAATATGCCTTCAAGCAGAATGCTGTCCATCAAAGAGCAATCTGGCATGTTCAATATCAGCTGAGGAGACCTGCCTGCCTATTTATTTCACTGGCCTGTGAAGGACATAAATGGCCCTCATGCACAACGCTAGTGCAAGGGTAATGGTCAAAAGACATTAAGACTTGCTGAGAAAGGAGCTCGATATAAAAAAATAAAACAGGTCATAGTGATCCCCCCCTTCCTCCTCCCCGCCCACCCTCCCCAAAGGAAAATGCATAAATAGTCCTGATGACATTTTCTGTCAGTCAGGTAAGGACTGAAATCTTTTTTGTCAAGCCTGCTTTGCCAACCTACCGAACGAGGCATCAGCTTAAATGCTGTGTGGACTACAGAAATCTGTTTGGATAACCAAAAGGACTGGATTTTGAGATCATAGGTCATTGCCTACAACTCGATACGTAACAAACCAACTTCAGGCTCCCGTCAATGACAGCAGGAAAGTCAACTGTGTCTCATTTATCTGCTGGCTAGCCAGATGATTACAGCTCTTACAATGGGGTATAATGTGTGGTATTTCGTAATACGAAATGCGTAATTTGCAAATTTCTCAAACATCGAATGTGCTTAATAGCGCAGACTCAGCACAATTACTGTTTCAGAAATTCGATAACTGCCCCTTTCTGATTAAGAAATCTCTTACAAACTACTGCAAATTCGACTCTGTTGTATAATTTTACTAAGTTGCAGGCCCACAAGGGATTCTAAGTATATTGTAGTTCATCTGGAATTGCAATGGTAAAGCATGAATTTTTCCGCAATAGCTTTGCTCTTCGGATGAGACGTTAAATCGAGGTCCCCTCTGCTTGTTTAAGAAGACATGAAAGATCCCATTGCAGAACAGAACAGAGAAGGAAGTTTCTCCTGATGTCCAGCCCAACAATCCACTGGATAAAATTGGTCATTCACTTCATGGCTGAATTGTGGGACATTGCTGTCCTCAAATAGGCTGCAGCATTTTTTCTACAAAATAGTCACTATACTTTATAGTAAATCCTGTGAAACACTTTGAGATGTCTTTGTGACATGAAAGGTACCATATCAAATGTAAGTATTATTATTATTTCTGTGTATTTTGTGGACAAAATGTGCCAGCTAATTGCACACAGCCAATTCATTTTACAGTATACTCGGTGAAGTGCTTCAAGTTATCTCGAAGATGCGATAAGGCGCTATATCAAATGCAAGGATCATTTATAGGGATCTCACAGCCAGAATCATAAAGCAAAGTGTCCATGATATATAAATAGCAGATGGCACTGATTGTGTTTCAAGGCCTTTACGCAAATCTCAGGGTTCACATATAAAATGCTCCATTTATACGGTATATTCCTATCATTTACAATGTTATTAGAACATGGTGATTGGTACAATTGCCGTGACACTTATTGGAAGATTTTCAGTGCTTGATTAATGCCTTACGTTCTTCCTCCTCTAGAATTGGATCGCTCTTGTTGGAAGCGGAGGACAACATCTGTGTATATTCGCTGAGCTCCACTAATGTTCTTAGTGAAGTTACCTCAGATGTTAAACTGAGGCCCAATCTACCTGTTTAGGTGGACGTTAAAGATCTCAAGAGAAGGGAATTTCTCCTGATGTGAAAGGTGTTTTATTAAAGATTGTTATTATTATTGTTATTAATGGATAAAGCGCTCTGGGAGGCTACCCTGCGTGAGGGACGTTATATAAATACAAGTTATTGTTGTTAACATTATCAGTTGGGTCTAATTTGCATTCTTCAGCACAATTGATGGTATTGAATTTCTTCTAATTTCTTAATCGGAAATCTGTTAAGAAATATTGCCATTACATATTGGAACTTTGATCGAGTTATTTCTGAAGCAAAAGGCAAATTGATTTGTGCCCACCTGAATTTATAACTCAGCAATATGAAAGAATGTCCCGTTGAAACCACCCTCTCAGCCTGGTCTCAGTCGAGAAGCTTCAGCACAGATTGCTTTAACCAAGCCAGCTGTAAAGAGAGGAGCGTGTCATAGTATTAGAATATAGACAGAAATGACATTATTCCAGTGGATTAAAATCCCTGCCTAGTGTAACCTTGAGCCGTTCAGTCAATCCCCATGAATCCCCAGCCTGTGTGGAGTTTGCCTGGCTCTGCCAAGCCAAGTCAGCAGTTTCAGTGCTTCAATTGGCTTCAGGGAGGCCAAATTCAACCAGTGCCCTTGCACCCGACTGCTATCCTTGCTGGAAAGTGTATGTGAAAGTGGAAGTCAATCAGGTGTTAGCATTAGGCAGCTTGCTGCCTCTCACAGTCGAACAGCCTCCTAATGCTTACTTTTCAGCTCACCTTTTGAGATTAAGAAACACTTTGACAAGTTGTGGGAAGCCAGACTGTACTGTAGAGGAATCAGAGCTTTAGAATAATAGGAAATTGGAGGAGGAGGAGGAGGAGGGCATTAGTAATCAAGTAAATGTCTGAAAATGAGCAGTTTCTGATGCAGTTTCAGACGTTATAATTGAAATTCTTTTTGTGTTTGTGAAGCGACAGTGGTCAACCATGTTATTTTCCCAGACGCTTATATAACTCCAGAGATAATCCAGACATTTGGCGGGCCACTGGTTGTGGTTCTATTCTTTTCAATGATCTCTTTATATGGGCGATTTCAAATTGTTTCATGGATTATAACAACCTAGAGGTAAGTCGGAGGCGGTACTGCTCAGTGAAGTGCTGACCGGGAACAATTGTGTGCCATCGATTCGGATCCACTGGCAAAACTCATTAAAACAATGATATTGAAAAGCCGTTATTTTGCCTTTGTTCTAAGGTAAGATGCGGGGACAAATTATAGTGCTTCAAAATTGTAGTGCATCCTCTCATAACTCCTTACATTGTAGTGTAGTCTCTCGTTACCCCATACATTTATCAGATGGACTGTCTTCTGAAATATATATGTGTAGAATTTGTATGTATAGCCTTCATCATCTCGCAATAGCTGCGTTTTTCTGCCATCTGTTCCCATCGCGCTCTCGCTCCACGACTGTTTGGATACTGCGGGACACCGCTGTGCGCAATTGACTGCCGCTTTCCGCCCCCCACCCACCCACCCAAAAAAAAAACACACGGTCAATCCACTTGACAATCCGTTCCGTGAAGCGCTTTGAGACGTCTCAACAACATGTTAAGGCGCTGTATCAAAATGGAACGATCATCAATATTATTAATTATTATTGCCTGGAAGGGTGGGATATAAAGGTGTGGTGGGGTGGGGGAGGGGGAAGAGAGGAGCTCGGTGTTGAAGGGGTTAAGTGGTGGACAGCCCTCGCAGTGAATCACAGCTTGTGTAAGAGAGAGAGAGAGAGAGCAATACAAGGCTGCTGAGCACATCCACTGTTTTAGCCCCAAGAGAGAAAGTAACCATTGCAAGCTTAAACCTTGAGAGCAATCCCCCCCCCCCCTCAACACAAAAAAAGGGATTGAGGAGGGGCTGGGCTGGGGTAGTGGGTAAGGGAAGGGGGTGTGTGCAGAGCTAGAGGACTCCTCTCTGTCTTTAACAAGGGGGGAGGATCAGAGGCAGTGGTGAAGAATGATGCTAATAGCAGACTTGCTTAACGTCGCAGACACAGAGCAGTGGTGGGTTTGTGCAGAGAGGCTGTCGACAGCACAGGGTCCCGGGCAGATGCCAGGGCTATAGAGAGAGAGAGAGAGAGGGGGAGAGAGATGCAGCCAGAGAGAGAGAGATAGACAGATAGACAGAGAGAGGGAGGTGCAGAGAGCAAGTGGGCAGACAGAGAGACAGAGGAGAGAGATAGGGAGAGGTGCACAGAGCAAGAGGACAGACACAGAGAGAGATTCAGTGAGGGTTGGAATTAGCTGTCCATAGTTTAGGGGAGTTTTCTTTATATATATATGAGACAGACAGACAGACAGATAGACAGACAGATAGACAGATAGACAGACAGATAGATAGATAGATTGATTCTCCCCTGGAAGTGTGTGTGTGTGTGTGGGCTCAATGCAGTTCCCTAGTCACCAGCTGAGATAACTGCCCGTTAACACAAGAGGGGTTCCCAATCCCAGGGCATCATCTGTGCTGCTAACACAAGCCCCAGCCCTGCCCTGCCAGCCCTGCCAGCCCTGCCCTGCCAGCCCTGCCCTGCCCTGCCAGCCCTGCCCTGCCCTGCCCTGCCAGCCCTGCCCTGCCAGCCCTGCCCTGCCCTGCCAGCCCTGCCCTGCCAGCCCTGCCCTGCCCTGCCAGCCCTGCCCTGCCCTGCCAGCCCTGCCCTGGCCAACTGAGAGAGAGAGAGAGAGGAGAGAGAGAGAGAAGGACAGGAGGAGGAGGAGGAGAAGAAGTGTGGGAGGGGGAGGGGAGGGGGGCAAGAAAAAGTTCTGAAACTTTGCATTTCCCCCCTCACCTCCCCACCTCCCCCCCACCTCAACAACAACAACAACAACAACCACAGCGACTTGACCAGGATGGCAGCGCGTCGCGTGTAAGCGGGGGATGGCGTTGGGAGGACCAGCCATCGCCCTGCAGGGCTCGGCGAGGGCTGGGGACATGGACAACTACAGGAAAGTGCGCAAGACGGAGGAGCAGAGCCCTCTGCCCTTCGAGAACTTACCCCCGGACATCGTGGAGATGAAGGTGAAGGAGGGCAGCAAGATCAGGAACCTGATGGGCTTCGCCATGGGCAGGATGGAGACGGAGGACACCAGGCAGATCGTGTTCAGCGGCTCGGGCAGAGCCGTGACCAAGACCATCACCTGCGTGGAGATCATGAAGAGGAGAGTCTCGGGGCTCCACCAGATCACCAAACTGCGCTACAAGAGCGTGCAGGAGGTGTGGGAGCGGAGGGAGCCCGAGCCGAGCGCACACAACCTGACTCTGCTCAAGAACGTGCCGTCCATCTGCATCCTCCTGTCCAAGGACCCCCCGGACATCACCGCCGCCGGGTACCAGTCCCCAGAGACCAGGGACGGGCTGTGGACAGGGACCGAGGGGGTCCGGGAGGGGGAGGGGGATGGGGAGGGGGTGCGGGACCGGGAGGGGGAGGGGGAGGGCAGCCCCTCTCCCCGGGGAGTCAAGCGATCTCTGGCGTGTGGTGGGGACACCGACGTGGTCAGGAAAGTCACCAGAGAGGAGACTCAGGTTAACCCTCTCAGCTTCGCCTATTTATTGGACTACCAGCACTAACTGGTTGTAAGCACATCATATATACACACACACACACACACATATTATATATATATATGTTATATACTCAGACTATCCAAATTTCTAGAGCAGTTTATAATAACCATTAAAATGCAAATCGAGAACCATCACTCTGCACTGTGTGTTATGTGGGGAAAGTTTTATGCTGTTGGGGTTGGGTTGGGGTTGGTTTTGGGGAGCAGGGAAGGAAAAGGGGGAGATGGATTTAATATTTAATATTATTGCTCCCACCCCCTTTCACCCCCCCCCCCCCACCCCCCCCCAGGCAAATTACTGGCTCTTTAAACTACTACCTTAACTTTGCATCACTGACTTGACACCAGCAGGTTACATAGGATCTTGGAGGGACCTTGCCCTGGAGGTTTCGAGGGAAGAAGATTAAATTAAATCAAAGTTAGATGCTTTTGGTGTGGTTTGGCCCGGGACACAAGCTCTGTAAAGGAGAGGATTAAATGCATCACCAGTAGGAGAGGGTAAGCACTGTTTTTTTTTTTGTTTCCTGTGCATCTTTTTGCAGTGACATTGATGGGAATCAGTCACGCAAGCAGCAGCGGTACAGGAACCTCTCTCAACTTACACTTTCCATAAGGTTATTACTATTATAATTAATAATCCTTGTATTTGATACTGTGCCTTACCACGTCGTCGAGACGTCTCAAAGCGCTTCACACAATGTATTGCAATGTATTGGATTGACTGTATTTTGTGGGCGAAACGGGGCGGTCAATTCAGTGTCCCACAAACAGTCGTGGATTGAGTGACCGCTTGCAAATGAATACCACCACGACTCTATGTAAGATAGTGCAGGTTTTTTTAAAAAAATGTGGGGTATATATATATATACACACACACATTTTAAATTTATATCTGTGGTCAAATACACAACACGTCGGTAATCCGAGATTTCTCCTCGTGATCTCTTTGCCAGATTTTTTTTTCTTTCTTTCATTGGAAACCGTGGAAGTTCGTTGATTTCACTCTCGCTGTGAAACTGGCGAGCGGTGCGTTATTTTGGGGATTGGATCTTGACATTTTCCACCCAATCCTTAAGGCTGTAACCCTGTGCCTCGTAACAAGCGGGAAAGCTTTTGTTTAAAAGCAAATCATTCGAAAGATATCTGCTTGTGCGCAGTAAAGTGCGCTGTTGTATTTGCAGTCTCTGCCACTTTGTCTGTAAATCCAGTTAATGGAAAGGAAATCTAGTCACACAGCTTTAAGCACGACTTGAAATTTTCCCTCAAATTAATAATAATAATAATCCTTGCATTTGTATCGCACCATATCTAGTCATTGAGACGTCTCAAAGCGCTTCACAGAATATATCGTGAAGTGAATTGACTGGGTATTTTGTGGGCAGAATGCGGCAGCCAATTGCGCACAGCAGTGCCCCACAAACAGTCGTGGATTGAGTGACCAAATTTTCTTGAATTATGAAATTGCTATGAAATGTTTTTAAATGACCAGCAGTGTTGTATATTGCACAGACTTGGGGAGAGTGAGTGGGGGAGTCACTCGTAACTATTCAGCACAGTTGGCCTGAAACACAAAATAAACTTTAAAAAAAAACCTCTTGAATGTTAAATACTGTATTCAAAATCTTAGTCCAGCGGTTTACCAGTGGTTAACTCTTTCACTTAAACATTAGCCTGCAAATGAACTGGCCATTCAATGTTCCTCCTTGTTCATTTATTTCTGTTAAATCATCATTGTCGAACTGCTCAGTGCCCTTATGTAGATTAATGGGTCTGTGTATGTATGTACATACAAATAATGTTGCTTGCTCACACAGTCGATCTGCTCTACATGTTGCAAATGCTATTTTCATTGTACTAATATGCATTTTTGTACATTGCACAAGCTCACAAGACGTACTTCTATAACGATCAGCGTAAGCAATGTGCAAATGCATCCACATGTGAAATTCTTTGCTATTTGTCTACGTTTATGGAAAAAGTAAACTTTTGCCCCCCCCACCACCATGCCTGCAAAGGTGGGGCTGTTTGACACAACCTTGCTTTGACCGTGGCAGAGCACTGCAATTTAGCTGCGTACGGCCACATATAACGATATAAGATTCTGTAGAATCAATGAAGCAGAAAAGGACTTTATTCACAAATAGAAGCATTCAAGGGATTTAACCTACTGTACTCAGGACATAGCTTTTGCCTGTCAATGGAGCACATTATAAGGTAATAATAATAATAATAATCTTTTGACATAGCACCTTTTCATGTAGTTGAGATAGTACAAAGCTCTTCGCAGAATATATTGTAAAGTGACTGTGTTTTTGTTGGCTAAAGATATAGCAACAGCTTTCTGTAAATCTGACATCAAACCTGTGCATCGCTCACCACAGGCAAGTTTTTTTTTAAGAAGTGAATCATTTTTTCTCAATTGCATTTCTTTTATTCTGATGCACATATTTTTCAACAAAAATAAACTTTCTTTAGAAAATATGAAAGAAATCAACAAAAAATGCCTTACCTGATTTTTAAAAATATATAATTTATGTTTTACTTTGTTTTTTCTGTAATGTTATAATGCTGTTATCGAGCCATGTAGACTAATGTAATGGATACACTCATCTTGTTCATAGCTACCGATGGTAATAATAATAATAATAATCCTTGCATTTGATACAGAGCCTTATCAAGTTGTCAAGCCTCGCAAAATGCTTCACAGAATATACCATAAAGTGGAGTGACCTGGTATTTTGTGGGCACAACACTGCAGCCAATTGCACACAGCAGTGTCCCACATACAATCGCGGACTGAGTAACCAAATCATTTTTCTTTCGGAGGGATTATTACCCCCGGAAAGCGATCCTTTAGTTTGAATTTATTCTGTTATGGTGTTCATAAACAGAAGGGCTTATGCTTTCTTTGACTGCACACCCATTTAGAAAGTACACCAAAGGAGAAGTTTAAACACTTTGAATGAGATTTTAAACTGAGGTGTCTTTTACATGTACTTTTGGTTGAGATGGACATTACAGATCCCACGGTACTGTTTCAAAGAGTCAGACGTTCTCCTGATCTTCTGCCCAATAATCCCCCTTATTTAAATTCACAGATGACTCAGTTTCTCTTTGGGAAATTGCTGGCACAGATGAGGTGCTACCTTTGCTTACATAACAACAATCATTACAAAGCAATTCATTGTATGAAGCACTTTGAGGTTTGTTGACTAATCTGGCACTATATCAAATGCTAGTTTTTTTAATGCAGTTTGTGAAGCAATTGAGACTCTCCAAAACTCGCTTTCCAGATTAACACAATGTCTTTCTTTTAAGATGAACCAGAACATGGGGGATTGGGAACCAGTGTAAACTTTCCTGGTGTTTGCAAACGCATTGTTGATGGTTGACTTTCATGTCAGGAGGATGTCGCAAGGAGCTGGACAGTCAAGGGTTTGCACCCGAGCTGGGGGGTGAAATGGAGAGGTGGATGGCAAAGGGGGTGGGAGTGGGAGGATGACCGAATGCATCGTCAAGGGGGAGGTCTTGAGACTGGACTTGATGGAGGTAAGGGAGAGGGATGCAATTCAACAGGGATTCCCGCAGAAAGGCTGAAGGCCTCACCACCAATGGTGGGGTGGGCAGGGTGGGGGACATGGAGTAGGCAGATTGGTAAGGTTGCAGAGGTAGGGAGGAGTAAGACCATGGAGGCTTTAAAAGTGAGGACAAGGATCTTAAGCTCGGTAAGATGTGAAAATACAGTCACTAAACTTGGCAGTTCATCCTGTGAAGAGCTTTGAGATGTCCTTCCAAAGTGTAACACTATATCAAATGTCAGGATTATTATTATTGTTATTATTATTATTATCATTACTGACCACAATACAACACAGTAACTTTTAAAGCGCAAATATGCTTCTGTACACACGGTTCAGTTTGACATGTAATAAGGTTCTAATCCATTGTGTTTATTAATTGATACCCACATAGGTAATCATGAGTCTGCATATTAAATTGAAGGCTTGAACCGTTTAGTCAAATATGGGTTTGGCAGCACAATAGGGATGAAATGTGTTCGTATGGTTGTGATTCTTATTGGCAAACAAGGAGCAAGCAAACTGCATCAATTGAAAGTATTAGAATCCATCATCTGCTTTCAAATGGCCTTTTGAAATATTACCTTTTTTTCCCCCCACCTGGTTTATCGCCTTGGGGTTAAAATTTAACCCAACTTCCCAATGCCTGTAATTAAATTGCTTGAAATTGAATTTAAACACCCGACATTCATGAGCATGCCACTGCATTATGACACCACTGTAAAGTTCATTTTACAAAAGGCAGTGACTGCGATATCGACTGTGAAGTGTGCCTCAGGTTCTCTCACAGTCCACTGCAATCACTAGACATTAAAACCTCGCTGCTCTTTCATTCAAGAACAAAAATGCTCCCTCGCCCAGGCCTTCCTGAATGTATCATTCGAAAAGCCATCTAACTCGGTCATTTGTATTTCAGTTTCAAAAGTCTGTTTATTTTCCAAGTGTAATATTTTCTCAATTCCAAACAAAGGCATTATTCCCCTGGCTTGGCCCTGCCACATGTTCTGAATGTGGGAACAAGGAAGGGAATACGTTCCATAACTTCCAGAATCACTTGACTGATTTCACCATTGGGACTTGGACTCAAAAGAACTTGAGATCCCCTTGAAAGTCTTGCTAGCTAAACGAGTCTAATTAATTTGGGAAGTTTCCAATCAATTGGCCCCTGGTGATACGAGTCCACAGGATAAAATAGTCACTGGCTAATCTGTTTAACGCAGAGGCAAGAGTCACACTAATGCAGCTGGAAAGGTCATCAAAATTGGGATTCAGCTGTATCAAGCTTTATTTTGCCCACAAAATACACTTTACATTATATTCTGTGAAGCACTGTGAGACGTCTCATGATGTGATAATGTCAAATGCAAGGATTATTTTTATTATTATTATTACTTACTGGCTGAGAGCTATTTTAATGTATTCCTTGTGTGCTCCCTTGCACATTCACCTTCTGTTCTGTCAATATCAAATGGAAAAATAAAAAGCATTTCAGATCACACCAATTAACCACTCCTATTAAAATGGTCTTCGCTAGCCTTTTGCAAAATAAAAATACAGTGGTTCCTTACTGGCGCAGAAATGCTGATATACGTTTCATTCTTTAAAAAACTGCATTAGCACTTTTTGTACAAGGTCATAACGTAATGATGGTCATGTGCTCTAGCAGTGAATGTTACGGAATCATGAGCATTGCTCATTGCTGTGCTGAACTGACTCAGAGTAGATCATAAAGCGTGTGATAAAATGGGAAATACACATGAGACTTTGGAGTCCTGTAATGTATTGGATAGAGCACTCGCTTCGCAAGCGAGAGGACCTGGGTTCGATTCCCGGGCAGGGTGAAACCTTAGGCAAGTTTCCTTACTCCACAAGCCCGTTTACCTTGCAGTAAGTAGAAATCCGGTTGTTAGTCGATGGGCGGATCGCTTTTTCCGGGGGTAATAATCCCTTTAAAAAATAATAATAAATGATTATTATTAATGATAATAATTTGGTCACTCAATCCACGACTGATTGTGGGACACTGCTGTGCGCAATTGGCTGCTGCATTTCACCCACAAAGTATACAGTTAATTCACTTTACAGTATATTCTGTGAAGCGCTTTAAGACGTCTCGAAGACGTGATAAGGCGCTATATCGAATGCAGGGATTATTATTATTATTATTCAACGGGGCATTCCGAATCACCTCCTACTCACTTCCTACACACTTCCATTGTAACCCGACAAGATAAAGACAAAGCTGCACTTAATGTAGTTGCAAAAAAAATACAGATTTGTTTTATGGATCAACTCTTTTTGAAAATGACTAATTGTTTGCAGTCGGCAATAATGAGAGGATTCGTTGGGTTGCAGCAGATGTTACACCAGCACCAGATGGTAACATTCAAAGCTCTTTGTGTAGAACAAAGAAGGTTAAGCGATTGCTCTCATCCCCTGTGTGAAACTGCAATGCTTGTTTTCACCTTTGTGTCTTTTTTACATGAGATGTGGCCTCCTTGCCTCTCAGATCCACCTTAAGAGGCGTTCCATATTCTCCCCTCCCTCTACCCCCAGTTGTCCCCTCCCCACCTAATAATAATAATAGTAATCCTTGCATTTGATATAGCGCTTTTCACGTCGGGAGGACGTCCCAAAGCACTTCACAGAATATACTGTAAAGTGAATTGACTGTATATTTGTGGGCGAACGCGGCAGCCAATTGCGCACAGCAATGTTCCACAGACAGTCATGGATTGAAAATGACCAATTTATTATTGTTTTGTTTTTTGGCGGGATTATTATTACCCCCAGTTGCCCCCTCCCCACCTAGCTCTCTATCCCAATATTCCGGCACTTGACTCAATCCATGAGTAGTTGTGGAACGCTGCTGTGCGCAATTGGCTGCTGCATTTCACGGACAAAATACACAGTCAATCCATTTTGCTGTGCGTTCTGTAAAGCTCTTTGGGATGTCTCAATGACGGGATCAGGCGCTGTATCAACTGCAAGGATTATTATTGTTATTATTATCAAATTATTCCTGGAATAAAATGGGAAACACAGAAATGCTGGAAATAGTGTTTTTTTTTGTAAACTGGTTGAAGAGTACACATTCACTACACTTTACAGTAAATCGCTTTGAGATATCTTCCTTACATGAAAGGTGCTGTATCAAATGCAAGGGTTATCATTGTAAAATTTTATAGCTGGGTTACTAGGATACGGTGGGCAAATCTCAGTTATCACAGGTTCAGTCCTACAATTGAAATGGTTTGTTTCAAAGAGCTTTCAAAGTAATTGACAATATTTTCCCACCACATAAATTGCTTGCCCATACGTTCCAACCAGCCTTGGATCAGCTGGCTCTGGTTTACTGCAGACAGCTGGTGAATGCATTGTTAAATGTATTAAATGTTTAAGCTGCACCTGAAGGCTGGATCCTGCAGTGATTGCTTTATGGAAGTACAGTATAAGTTATTGCTCGGCCATTGCAGCAGATGAGCTAAACAAATCAGATGAGATGCCATTTATTTCAATGAACCAAATTGGTGACTAGAACAGGTATAATTGTATAATTCCTCGAAACTAGTTAGAAAATTAGATTTTCAAACTTTGCAATAAATCAAAGACTATTTTGGCACTCTGCAAGTGTTCTGTATAATTTATAACCATGGTTTTACTCCTAGAAAATACTCTGCAATACACTTCACAGCTTGAAGGGATCTCTGTGTGTTTTCATTGCACAGGCTACCTTCGGAGAAATCACTGGATAGGTCAGCCCCTATTCTACCTTTAGAAAAACAATAATCTGATTCAACTGAATTAATGCCGCACTTAAGCAAGAAAAAATCACTATTGCCGATTTAGAAGACACTTCACCTGCTTTACTGTTACATAATAAGAATTCTTGCATTTGATACAGATGTTCAAGTAGGGGAGATTTATAGAATTTACTATGAAGTGTAGTGACTGTGTATTTTGTAGACGAACATGGCAGCCAATTTGCGCACAGCAGTGTGACACAAATATAGGACAGTTGAACAACATTACTTGTTTTTGCTCTGAGGATGTTTGAATCAGGAAATATTTTGTGTAAAAGCTGAATCTGACACTTTATCAAAATAATTGGTCAAAGGTAAAACGAGACTGCAGGTTTTTTTACAGCCTGTATTCTATTCAGTCAACCAAAATATAATAATAATATTTCTTGTATTTGGTATAGTGTCTTTCATGTCAGGAAACAATCTCAAAGCGCTTCACAAGATATAGTTTAAAGTGTTATGACTGTGTATTTTATAGGAAAATGTGGCAGTCCATTTGCGCACAGCAATTTCCCACAAACAGCCATGAATTGAATGACCAATTTTATTCGAGGGATTGTTGGCCGAGACACCGGGAGAAGCTTTCTTCTCTTTTTGGGTAGCGCCACAGAATCTTTAACATCCACCTGAACATGCAGATGGGACTTTGGTTTGCGTCTTATTTTGAAAGATGACACCTTCAACAATGCAGCACAACCCCACCACCACACTGGAGTGTCAGCCTAGACGGGTCGCAAAGCCGGATTGAACCCACAACCTTCTGACTCAGAGGCGAGAATGCTACCAATTGAACCGGGCTGACACGTATTGAAGATGGGTAACGTTTATGTCCTTTATATATGTTTGAGAATATTTAGGTGCTTTCAGTTGGTATGTGTCATATGAAAGGGTTTATGACTGCAAACAGTGTGGATAACAAAACACATCCGTATTTTCTCTTGCCCATTCCCCTCCACCTCGTTGTTACATTGTCCACAAATCCAAGCCTTAGAAACTAATGAGACAGCATTAGGGTCACACATATCTGACACACATAGTACCGTGTGACTGCCTGTCACCTTATATTATTAGATCAAATCAGCTGTCATATGCTAGCGAGTAGCGATATAAAAAAAATCTCACCAATGCACCCGTGGAAGAAGTCTGCTGGACAAAGCCTAAATTGATCATTTCAAATTCTTAAATGGTCCGTGCAGACAGGTCTCCGAAACCGGTCTTAATTTCACTGCAGACCTTAAAAGTATTTCTCATCCATACTAAAGATTTTTGTTACTACGTCTTTTGCTCTTTAGAGATCATCACGTTTCTGTGCAGTGTGATTATATGCAGATTAATTCCGTTTTTAAATGATTCTAATTGTATCAATTTGTATATTTCCATTCCAGCGTGATACAGTACTTCGCAATACAGTAGGTGTCTAGAATATGTTAATTCGCAGCTTATAAATGTTTAAGGTGCAGTGTAAATCCGGCAATAAAGGGTTTCCGTACAAAAGGAACTGTCCATAGAGGGCATAACGCTTTCAAGGCGGAGTTAATGGCAAGTGCATTTTCGAACATTCACAATTGCAACTTGAAATCTTAATCTGATTTTTCTAAAAAAAAATGCAGTATGCAGTCTGTCTTTCAACAGTGATTAGCCCCAAATTCGATTATAAGCACAAGTGTTTCTCAATGTGTTAAAAAGTGCATTGGGCAAACACTTAAGAAGCAACTATCTTCCGAACCTGAAATGGTTAGGGTACAACTTATCACAAGGCATTTTCACACATGCTGATGTGTGCTTTTCTACCTAGTGACTTGGAATTTTGGGAAGCAGGATATCTAGATACACATCCTGATCAGGTACACATGAGATTTCTGAGTAATGGGTCGTGTTCAGACCATGAATTGCCTTATTGCTGGTACTCAACAGTCCAAAAGCCTTTGCTGTTCAGCATCATTGTGAATCGCGTAAATATGGAGTGTTTATGCATTTTGCCGAGATCTATTCATATTCAATATATGGTGGCATTCTGGTTAGCAATATTATATCTGCCAATCCTGGCAGTGTTACAGAACAATACAAATTTATAATATTATAATAATAATAATAATACTTCCATTTGATAAGACGTCTCAAAGTGCTTCATAGAGTATATTGTACACATCAGGAGGACATTCCAAAGTACCTGCGATATTTAAACTTGGAGTATTATATTTACCAATGCTATACAGAAATAGTAATACATTTTCATCCATTAATTGTTTGCTCTTCTTGATTGGATAATCTTGCCATTAAAGTATTAGCATTAGAACACAGGAGGACCAAGTGGATGATCTCATATTGCTATTGCATATCATTTGCAAAAAAAAATTAAACAAATTAGCATGTGATAATTGCACTCATCAACATATGCAGGAACAGGAAATTATAAATTACTGTTGTGATTCACCGCTTAGAATCTACCATTCAAAGGAGGGAATGGACTAAGTTTGTATACACCTAATCTTTTTTTTATTATTATGAATAACCATTAGTTCAAATCATTTTTAGTTGTTTGATTTATAAGAAGTAAGCACATTGTGACCATTAAGGAAGCTGAGTGCCAACGTTACACACAGGACCAGCTCCTAATGGCTCCACTGTTGAAGGTATCTCAAAGCGCTTCACAGAATGTACTGCAAAGTGAATTGACTGTAAATTTTGTGGGCGAAATGCAGCAGCCAATTGCACGCAGCAGCGTCCCACAAACAGCCGTGTACATTTAGTTACATGTACTGAGACGATGCTGTGAGGTGCTGGAATCTGGTTGGGGGAAGGGAAGTGAGACAAGCACAAAATTGGACAGGGAATAGGGAATTAGTATTCGATTATGGAATGCTAAGATAAGTGTAATGCAAAGAAATGAGGTAATCTCAGCTGTTCTGGGACGCCAGGAGATAAGGAAGGAAGGTAAGACGCTCGGAATGGTGAATGGCTGGGAACCGAAAGCAACTCCCCCATTCGGTACATGATGGCTTCCTTTCTCCTGCACAAATTTAATCTGTTTGGCCGCAGACCGCAAATCATAAACCGCTTCACAGTCACAACATCCTTTCAAATTCACTCCAACGTACGCAATTCCCAACGGTTGCTGCTGTCCCTATCGCCACCTCAATGACTTTGCCTCGTGGTAAACCCAGATTATAAGGTCCTTTTATTTCCTCCCCGGGAGGGACTTGAAAAGGAAGTTGAATCATTTACATTTTGAAATTAGCTTGCTTGGATGGAATGGCAGTAGGCAAAATCGGACTTGAAAGCACTTTATTATTTGAAGTTTTAATTACAGTTCTATAATTGGAAATGGTTTCTCCACATTGCTGTACCAGTCCGTGCTGGTGTTCACGTTCAATACTATAATATTTGATGATGCAATCCCTTATGGCATTGCAGTGTCTTTGAAGCACCTAATAGGTAATCACTGTTAAGTGTAGTAATTGTGTATTTGTAGCAAATAGTGTCCACTATCTGCACAGCAATATCCCACAATCAACCATGAAATTAATAATAATCCTTCCATTTGATATAGCGCCTTATCACGTCTTCGAGATGTCTCAAGCGCTTCGCAGAATATAATGTAAAGTGAATTGACTTTGTGGGCGGAACGCGGCAGCCAATTGGGCACAGCAGTGTCCCACAAACAGTCGTGGATTGAGTGGCCAATTCATTATTATTTATTTGGAAGGAATTATTACCCCCTGAAAGCGATCCGCCAATCGACTAACAACCGGGTTCCTACTTACTGCTAGGTAAACAGAGGAGTGTGTGTGGAGTAAGGAAACTTAACAACATTTCTCCCTGCCGGGAATCGAACCCGGGTCTCTCGCTTGCGAAGCGGGTGCTCTAACCACTTAGCTACAGGACTCCATGATCAATGATCAATTTATGAGGAGGATTATTTGCAAGGACAATGGGGGGAAAACTCTTTTTGTTTCCAATCGTGTCGAGGAACTTTTAACATGCGCACGAACAGGCAGCAGCATCTCAGTTTATTGTCTCATCCAAAACATAGCACCTCCAACAACCCAATGCTCCCTGGTAATGCAATGGAGTGATGGCATGGAGTCCAAACTCAAGTTTAATCTAAGGGTAAATCTGTAACTTTCTTATCTAGAGGTGAGAGTGAACAGACTCAACCAAGCTGTCATGTGAGAAAGGAGGAACCAGAAAAAAACATTCAGTTCGTCAAACTGCCCCCTGCAAAGACTCTATCCTAGATTGCATCCCTCCAATGCTATCTTGGACTGCACCTCAGTCTACTCTGGAGGAAAGGCAATTCCTAAGCCCCGAAAGTAATTAAGCAAAATCTGCACACACTCACATCTCCACTGTGCCACGCTGGCCTGCTTCCCTCCACAAGCACTGGGGCCATTTCTCTTGGTAGCACAGAAACCATTTGTCCTGTCGAGTAAGTATTTGCACCTATCCTTAAATCTTTCCATATATAATTTACCCAAGTGGCACTGTGAATCAGCAATGTGAGGTGGGTAGATCAGAACAGGTCAGTACAGGATCAGAGACACAAAAACTCTGAGAGAGCAAGAGAGTCGGAAACACACACACACACACATAAAGGTCTGATATCTGCACTATTTTCATATCCACAGTGGAGCCTAAATCAATTTGTGCAGATATTATCAATAAATTCCTTGTATTTGATATAGCATGTCTCAACAGTGTCACACAGACAGCCTATTTTATTTGGTGGATTGCTGGCCAAGAAACCTGGAGAACCTTCCTTTGTGAAACACTTGAAGACACATCATCCTACATGCAAGTCGTTCAGTGTATAAGCGCAAGTTGTTTCATGTAGAATCTGCTTTTATTGAATGGTATTTCATGGAATTAGAGGGCTGAAGGAAGGTCATTCCTATCCATCAAGCCTGCACTTGGTGCTCCTACACTGGAGCTATCGACTGCAATCTCAATTCCCTTTCCTTGTCGCCTTTTATAACAGTCCTTGTTTGCTGTCTGCCACATCTTGACTTCAATGAATCAAGATAAACAGGGACCCAAACATATTGACTAGAAACAGCTAAAAGAAATAATAATATTCTTTGCATTATAGTGCCTTGTCACATTATTGAGACATCTCAAAGCGCTTCACAGAATATATTGTAAAGTGGATTGACTGTATATTTTGTGGTGAAACACAGCAGCCAATTACACACAGCAGCGTCCCACAAGCAGTCGTGGATTGAATGACCACATTTTTGTTTGGAGGGATTATTACTATGACTCAGGACAATCAATGTCCAGTAAATACATGTCTGCATTGTTACTGGTACTGCGGACTGCACAAAACACACTGGAAAAACCCTTGCTCTTGCGATAAGGCTTCCAACCCAGACCTTTTTAGAATAATGGACGTTTCTCAGAGCTTTGGNAAAAAAAAGTCATCCGTGCAACTAATAAATATTTATGACTGATAACACAGTGAAATATTTCGGCACTAGAGGAAATGAAGTCTTTATGGTAATATCTGTGATGTAATCACATCTCACTTAAAAATCAAGAAGCAGAGGATGACCGAGCTGTGCTATAACAGAATTTGTACTCAAGTACACTCTTTGAGATACAAGGTACAAATGCCCCAATTTAATTCTAAATGCGGAATCATTGCCGAGAAGATTGCTTTCCTCCCAGGATGCAGATGGAGTTTGGTTAAATGGTTCTTATTAGCATTCATATTGAAAGAAATATGAAAGCGCAGAAGGCATCACATGGTCTATTGAAAACAACAGTGCTGGGCTCCCCTGATGAACGATGAGGTTATTCAGTGAACAGCTCAGCCATGCCGGTTGGATCAGTCCCGAGTTACATGGTTACACGGATTGATGTGGCCACGGAAACAGGCCATTCAGTCTAACTTTGCCTGCGCTTGTATTCCATATAAACTCCCCCCCACCCACCCGCATCCCATTCCCCTAACCCTCAAGCTCTCCGGGACACTACCCTGCGTGAAGGGCGCTATATAAATCAAGTTGTTGTTGTTGTAACCTACGCCCTCTATAATTTAGGAACATAGGAAACACTAGCCAAAAAAACCCACAAGGTCTATCAGTTTACCTTCTACCATCCTGGCAATCGCATGGATGTGTCATGTTGTGAACTACTCATATACTGTAATTTGTTGTTGTTGTTTGTTGTATTCCCTCCTCTCCACCCTCGATGAGACGATGAGATCTGTTTCCCGTGCAGATAGCCCTGCTGGAGATGTGTGAGCGCACGCCTTGTGAGGACAGGTTCGGGCTTGATTGTCAGAGCCAAATAGTCTTCAGACCCTCACTGTGAAGGCTCATTCTCGAGCAGAGCGTGCGCAAAGGAACATAGGAAAAACAGGAAGAGAAAGGGGGCCATTCAGCCTAGTAAGCCTGTTCCACCAGTCTTTTTAGATCTTGGTAGATATTTTAAGGCCAATGACCTGCTCTTACACCACATTCCTTCATACCTCCACCATTAATCTCACTTTTAAACATCCCTACTGATGTTTAGTAGTAGCTGCTTTCTCTGCCCTCCGTATTGGGCATGGAACCTTAATACCAACCGAAGGTAAATAAAATCAAACAGAAAAAGAGGGGAGGAGAGAAAATATGTGGGAGAGAGATAACATGAAAGTAGCAGTTCCATGCCCAAGTAATATCTATAAGATTTATTATCTTGCCTTGTAGGCAAGATAATAAGGAGATTATAACCCTTATCACAATGACTGTGTGTAAATCCTTGACACCAGCAGCCCACAGGTTCCTTGCTGAAGTGGTCATTAATGGGGTAAAGGTTTTTATGATGATTCATAATGCATTTCGTGCATTGAACATGCTATAAAATAACACAAGCTTCACTTTCCTCCTCGAGATGCTGGACATTGAGTATCGGCAAGCAAATCAGCTATGAGAATAATAATCCTTCTGTTAGATTTAGTGCCTATAACACTAACATTAAAATACTTTGCAGTAATGACTCTGAAATAGACTGACTGTGTACTCACAGATAAACACAGCAGCCAATTTGTACACAGCCATGCCCATAAACAGCCAGAATGTGAATAACCAATGTTACCTGGAGGATTGTTAGCCTAGACACTAAGAGAAGCTCCCTTCTCTTTTGAAATAATGCCAAGGCAACTTTAACTTCCACCTGAACTGGTGGATGTGATCTCAGTTTAGCGTCTCATCTGAAGCTGTTGCCGAAATGCCTTCATCACAACTAATAATAATCCTTGCATTTGATATAGCACCTTGTCACGTATTCGAGACATCACAAAGCGCTTCACAGAATATACTGTAAAGTGGATTGACTGTATATTTTGTGGGTGAAACGCGGCAGCAACAGCGTCCCACAAACAGTCATGGATTGAAGCGACCAATTTATTATTATTATCTTTTTAAGGAATTATTACCCCTGAAAAACGGTCTGCCAATCGACTAGGTAAACAGATGTGTGGAGTAAGGAAACTTTTCCAACATTTCGCCCTGCTGGGAATCAAACCCAGGTCTCTTGCTTGCGAGGCGAGTGCTTTAACCACTGAGCTATAGGACTCCAATTACAGTAGCACTGACAACAGAAGGTTGCTTGCTCAAGTGCTGAAGTGGTTAAACAAACTGGTTAATCATTAGCAGTATCCTCAACCCACACGCTCTGGTGTTCCAAAGTCCTGACTCTTGCCAACCTGCACCTAATACATTTTGCAAGAGGTAAGCAGGTAATTAGATGCCTCCCTTTGTGGAACGTGGAAGTGCAGATTCCATTCCAGAGACAGGGAAATTCCGTACGTGCAGTGCTGTGCTTATGTAGAACTCCGTAGTTTGATTTGGACACTCCTCTAAAAAAACAGAAAAAGAGCAAATAGAAATATAATAATAATAATAATCCTTGCATTTGATATAACGCCTTATCATGTCTTTGAGACGTCTCAAAGCGCTTCACAGAATATACTGTAAAGTGAATTGACTGTAGGTTTTGTGGGCGAAACGCGGCAGCCAATTGCGCACAGCAGCGTCCCGCAAACGGTCGGTTCAAGAGAAATATGAATTTCTTCGGTTGCTGTGGAGAGAGGAAGATTACTATAACAACCAAGGTTTACTCTCTCTGATACTTCCCAGATCTTTCTCTCTCCTGTGTGGGTTGAGAATGATGTAATTGGGCTTGCAATGGGAGGGAGGGAGAGAGAGAAAAAGTGCAGAGGAAAGATGGACTAATTGGGGTCAATACTTTTTTTCCAACTACTTATTAACTGAACCCAGGCAGCACACACTGCATTTGAATCAGGTAACACGGATACGTATTGAAGTCTAGAGAGTGANTTTTTTTGTTGCACGATCCCACGAGCATTGTTTTGATTGAGGAAGAGTGGAAACATACACAGGATCAAGCGAGGAGTCCACTCAGGCAGCTAACGTTTAACAATTAGTCAATAGGTGCTGTCCTCAAATAAGCATTGACTTTTTCTATTACTGCCTGTGCACATTAACAATGCAATTCACACTCTTGCTATAAATGGCTCATGTTTTGAGAGTGGTGAAAGGTGCAATGACTTTCCAGGGTTCAAGGGCAGAATTTTAATTATCCTATGAGATCAGGATTAACAAACTGCCTCTTTGAATCTAAATGAAATCCTGGCTAAATCGGAATCGTTGAAATCGTTATCCCCTATTCCCTTAGCAAAGTACGGCAAAAAGGGGAAAATCTGCCTCAGTACCAGAATTTGGTTTTACTCTTGAAAATAAATCCATGATTAGCTACAGCTTGAACCTTGCTGAATTCAGTTTGTAGTTGGCTCTAACAAGATGCCAAATTTTGGGATAATCTCTCATTTTGGACCATGATTTAAATTCACTGCATCACTGTAATAATAATCTTTACATTTGATACAGCACCTGTCACATCAGTAGGACTGGAAATTTCAAAGCATTTCGCAGGATTTTCTCTAAAGCGCAGAGGGTGAATGCTGCCGCCTATTATTGTAATAATAATAATCCTTGCATTTCATATAGCGCCTTGTTACATATTCTAGACATCTCAAAACACTTCACAGAATATACTGTAAAGTAAATTGACTATGTTATGTGAGAGAAATTGTAGTGTCCAACACACTGCCATGAAGTGAATGACCAATTATATCCAGGGGAATTCTAAGGCAGGAGATAACAAAGAGAAGAGGGTAAGGCTGTGTTCTGCACTCCATTCAATTTCCCATTGGAAATGATCAGATTCTAAGGAATTCTAACTGGAAAACAGACAATAACAAGCGAGCTTCAAACTATGCGTGAATGCAAACGGTTGATCCTTTTTGGATTTCGTTGTTAAGATCTGGAAGTTATTGAACGATTCGAAAAACACTAAGCATTTTCACTAATTCAGGTAAATTTCAGTGTATTCAGGTAAATGGGCTTGATATAGCTTCTCTGCCCCCAACCCTCTGGAACTCCTTGTCCGTTCTATCCATTCATTTATATAGCAACTTATCACATCGTGGAGGCATCTCAAAGCGCTTCACATCTTACTGTGAATTGTAGTGAGTGCGTATTTGCTGGCAAACGCAACAGCCAATTTGCGCACAGGAGCGTCCCACAAACGTACTCCTTTTTGAGTGTCATTCCAGTTCTCCCATGAAAGCTAATATGGGTTCCTGCCTCATCCACCACACCTGGCAGGGTGTTCCACATCACATCTCATGTATTATTGAGTCAGAGACACGCCCAAACATCTGCTGCTAATCCTGATCTCCTGTGACATACGAGCGCAGACATTACCATAACTTTAATGCACAATCAGAAAAGCAGCTGCCCTGATCCACACTGCGCTTTGAATGAACGATATTTCAAATAGATTTACCTCTATGTTCGGATCTTCTATGCATTTTAAATCACTGTTACTTATGCCAGCCAAATGAATCCTGTCACCTTAATAAATCATTCCAATATTTGCCCCTGCCCTTGTGTGCTACCATTTCCAGTTAGATGAACTGAACTGGAACCAGCAGCTGGCTCTAATCCATCCTATTTGACCTTGGGCTCTTGCACAGTATCAGTCACTTTGTGGTTATAGTGCGACGAACATAAAATGCAATGCACAGCACTGCGAGAGAAAGGATCTGTCCTCTTCTGATTCTATTTCACAAACTATTAGTTCTTACGCCCCATTTATAATAACAATAATCCTTACATTTCATATAGTGCTTTTCACATCAGGAAGATTCCTCAAAGCACTTCACAAGATATAGTGCAAGGTGTGTATTTTGCAGGTGAACACAGCAGCCAATCTGTGAACAGCAATACCCCACAAACAGCCTACAAAATGAATGGCCAATTTTATTTGGGTCTTGTTGACCAGGACACTGAGAGAAACTCCCTCCTGTTTGTGACAATGTGTTTAGCACTGAAATGAACAAACACACTTTGTGGTGAGGGATCGCACCTTAGGAAGGTTTCTGTGTGGCGTCACACATGGCTTCATACATGGAAACATTTGACCAACCGGCCTCTATGTGTCATAGACAAAGATTAACACCCTCCTCCCTTCCACAACTCCCAGCAATGCACAGCAACTGAACTCTGACCATTAAAAGGCCAACACTGCTTTATGTTGACAAGATAACTCTGGATTGGACATACAGTTTGTGCTGAGGTGGATATGTTAGCACTGCAGCTGGTGTGAGACAGCTGTGAAACATCCACTTTTGTCCTGCTTTGACTTCTGTTAGCACAAATAACTCTAAAAGAAAGGCTTGAGTCTGGTACGACTCCTGATGCGTTGTTGTGCAGTTTTAGAATTCCAACAGATCTTGGCATGCCTCTGGTGCTAAGACTGTCCCATCACATGCGTAAAGCACTCACTCCAGAGTAATAGTGATCTGAGCTCTATTGTTCTGTAACACTGAATTTAGAATTTACCCAATTTATAGTAAAGACGTAAAGGTGACAACTGATTGTGAGTAAATTCGCACCTCTGAACCAATGGATACGCTCTAAGAAAATAATAATCCTTGCATTTAATATAACACCTTATCACATCAAAATGACTCAAAGCACTTCACAGAAGTTTTTGTAAAGTGCAGTGACTGTGTAATTTTGTGAACTTGGCAACCGATTTGCACCCAGCAATGTCTCACAAGCAGCCATGAAATGAAGGAGCTTTCTGTTTAATCAGGGGTTTGGTTGGTCAGGACACCGGGAGAAACTCCCTTCTCTTTTTGAATAGTGTCATGGGATCTTTAACATTCACCTGAAAAGGCAGATGGAACCTCAGTTTAATGTCTCATTCAAAAGACGGCGCCTCCCTCACCACTGGACTGGATTGTCAGCCTGGACTATGAGCTCAGAATCCTGACATGTTACCCTCTAAATACTATGGTTTACTTTGGACTATTAGTGAGTTTCTTTCTGTAACAAGTGACACATTTGTAGAGAATAAAATGATGCATTAAGTAATTGTAGAACTGCCAACTGGAACATAGTGTATTACTGTTCTACACTTTTATCAGCAGCCTATAAAGTACCCATTAAAAAGGAATGTTGCCATGTTAATATTTCAAATAAATATTGGTTGTAGTTTCAAAACAGCATCGCCAATCCCTAACATTGCCTTTGGGAGTGATAGAAAAGAAGTATAAGGGGTATTATAGAGAGGATGTTGTGCAATACCGTATAGTGTTTCAGTTTAATAAGGAAAGCAGAAGAAAAATGCAATGTTTAAAAGTTATGGTATTTGATGGGGGGCTTATAATAATGTATTGTTGCTATTTCTTGTTGAACCTTCTATTCAACCGTCTTAGCCTCGGGAGAATGTTGGGTTCACATATTGCCCAGGTAGCCACATCCACAATCCCCATTCATCTACTTCCACGGAACAGCATTGAAAAGATTCCTGTGTTGCACTCATTCCTGTTGAGAGATTATTTTATTCACACACCTTATCTGACTGTTTGCCAATCACTGCCTAACATGACATTGATTATATAACAGTCCGCAATTAGTTTTAAAAACTCAGAAATAATAAGTGTGTAGGCAGACAATTTTCTCCCAAGTACAGTATGCTTAACAGCTTCACATTGTGAATATGTTGGCCTGTGATTTTTGTTCTGTTTCGATGTGCATATGTGCGTAGGAGGAAGAGGTACAAAGGAATGGCTCTGAGAGGCAGCTCTGTGTGTGATGGGAAGCCAGAAGCCTTCTCTGATTTAATTAGTCATGTCTTTGCTAGTGGAATCGGATACCAGAAGATCACAGAATTGTTGCTTTTATAACAATAAACAATAATTTTTGCAATTGATTTTGAGCCTGATCACATTGTCCAAATGTCTCAAAGCGCTTCATGGGATTTACTGTAAAGTTCAGTGACTTGCATGTGGAATAATCTTCCCACAACTAAAACATTTGAAAAGGTTTTGGGGCGTCATTCTGAGATTCTTGAGAAATTAACTGACCTTGACGATTTCAGTTTCAAATGGGATTTTCTTGCAATTCCTTTGCAGTTTTGTTGAGTGCACATTTCTTACTGTGGGTTATTGAGCAAGTACAGTAACCAATTTTTTCATGTGTCTAATGGTACTTATGCATTAAGTCTTTGTTTGTCTATTGAAAACCAGGTTCATTCCAAGGGAGACCCTACTTCACACCAGCATTCAAACCCAAAATATCATGCTCTCAGTCCAGTGTTCCAAGTACAATAACAACAAAATTACATTTGTATAGCGCCTTTCACGTCGGGAGGACGTTCCACTGACAGATCTACTTGGGATCTGTTTTATTGATTATTCAGCTGATTAATTTATATTTAATCAATTACTTTTAGATGTATGATATATAAAAATAATCCTGAATTAATATCAGAAGAAAATGTTAATTTTTAAGAATTTAGCTGTTTAAAAGAGAGAGAGACAAATACTTGGGTAGGTATTAAAGGATTAAAGGGTGTTTTTGGCCACTCGGTCCCCACTTTCAAAGCCCGCTTAATACTTACCTCTGTGCTTTCAGTTCTTTTATTCCCAATAGATTCTCCATCTAAGGTGCATGGCTCAGTTTTGTTTCACTTTGGCAATGGCTGATTATCAAGCTGGTCATCTTATGGGGAGATACTACTCCTCCCCATAAGATCAGGTTTGTTTTTTTCTCTGTAAATTAACTCCCATTTTAAAATACTGTTAATTTGGAGTCCTGTAGCTCAGTGGTTAGAGCACTCACCTTCGCAAGCAAGAGACCTGGGTTCTATTCCCGACAGGGTGAATGTTGGACAAGTTTCCTTACTCCACACACCTCTGCTTACCCAGCAGTATGTAGGCACCCAGGTGTTAGTCGATTGGCGGATCGCTTTTCAGGGGATAAATAATCCTTTAAAAAAACAATAATAATTTGGTCACTCAAACCTGACTATTTGTGGGACACTGCTGTGCGCAATTGGCTGCCGTGTTTCACTCATAAATATACAGTTAGTTCACTTTACAGTACATTCTGTGAAGCTCTTTGAGGCGTCTACGTGATTTGAAAAGTGCTATATCAGCTGCAAGGATTATTATTATTAATACTGCTGGAAGGAAATACAAGAAAATTAAACCAAAAATAGTTTTATTCAAAGAATTTTGGGTGAACTCTATGGCGTTCGAAAGTTAGTTCCAGGAATACATTATGAAACGTTTTAAGTTTCATTGTTTTTATTTGCAAAAACACTTCAACAACAATATTACATTTATATAGTGCCTTTCACGTTGGGAGGACGTCCCAAGGCTCTGACTTCAGAGATTAACAAACATGCAAACAATCTACTTTATATACATTTTCAGCACCTTGATGAAGAAACCAACTCACTGCATTATTCAGGACACTCTTTCAGTCTGTTTTCTCATTTGAAACTGGGTGCCAGCCAGGCTCAGTTGGTACCCTCTGAATCAGAAGGTTGCGTGTTCAAGCTCATGACTTTTTGAGCTCACAGTCTCTGCTGGCACTCCTCTGTAGTGCTGCGCAGGGGGGAAATCACAGCAGTGTTGGAGGTGTCATCCTTCAGGCAAGATGTTGCACTGAGATGTTAAAAATCCCATTGGCACTATTGAAAAAGAAAAGGTTGTTCTTCCTGGAGTCCTAAGCAACAATCCAAAAGATATAGTCACAACACTTCCATAAACCCTATGAGGCATTTTGAGATGCTTTAATGAAATAAGGCACTGTATCAAATGCAAGGATTATTATTAATTGGTGGTGATCAAAAACTAACTTATAAGGGCAAAAATCTCATGAGTGTGGTTCCACTGTATTAATTGTACAGTGCTGGATTTGGCTCTGTGTGGTTTGTAAGTGACTCGCTTGCACCCCCTGTGTAATGTAAACCAAATAGCTGCATTGCAGAGCCGCCAGTTTCTGAATGATCAAAATGAATTGATGTTTGGTGCAAACTTGTTCTTTTTTCCCTCTTCCTTCCCGCAGTTGTATTTGGAATTACCACACTTTTCAGAACAAAAACAATGTGATGTGCAGCTCTTTAAAGCGATGAGCAACGATTAGCCAAGCTGGGGCTCTTCAGTCCTGCGCCCCCCGTTATTTTTTCTTACAATGAATTTTTATTTTCTGTTGCAGATGAGTCGAGTGTAACAATGTCTGATATTACCAGTAACTTCCTCGTGATTCCATCCATGTTACGGAAGATTATAGTACTTACACTGATACAGTTAAACACTTGTACTGAATGTGGATCTGGAGTACTATGTTCAGTTTTGTGCACCGCACCTCAGGAAAGATACATTGGCCCTGGAGGGGGTTCGGTTCAGATTCACCAAAATGATACCAGGGCTTAATGCGTTAAATTATGAGGACAGGTTGCATAAACTTGGTCTGTATTTCCTTGAGTTTAGAAGGCTGAGGGATGATCTGATTGAGGTGTTTAAAATGATACAGGGATTTGATAGGATAGCTACTATTTCCTCTGGTGAGGGAAATCCAGAACAAGGGGACATAATCTTAAAATTAGAGTTAGGCCATCCGGTAGTGAAATCAGGAAGCATTAACTCATGCAAAGCGTAGTGGAAATCTGGAACTCACTCCCCCAAAAAGCTGTGGGTGTTGGATCCATTCAAATTTTCAAGACTGAGGTGGATAGATTTTTGTCAGGTCAGAGTATCAAATGCTATGGAGCGAAGGCGGGTAATTGGAGTTGAGGTCCAGATCAGCCACGATCTAATCGCATGGAGGAACCGGCTCGAGGGAACTCTGGAACACTCTTCCTCTCTCCCTCCACCTTCCCCCCTCCTTCCCCATCTTTCGGTCGGGCCTGAAGACCTAATCGACTGTGGCTGAGGATCACCTCCCCCTGACTCGGCGTCGTGCTCCGCCACGGTCGAGCGCTCCGGGCCTCTACCCTGCGTGAGGGGCGCCACTATAAATGCAAGTTGTCGTCGTGGTTGTTGAGGGGCCGAATGGCATACTCCTGTTCCTATAATACGATGAAGTGCAGTGTTTCTAAATACAATTACCATCATTCTTCCGCGTGTTTCAGTTGTTGGCCAATGCACCGTAGACAAAAAAACACATGGGGGGGTAACAAGACATTGTTAAACACCTTGTAACAAGGCAACACACACACATACACACAAAAACGCCCAATTGAGCGTGAAACCCGCCCAATTTGGGGCGTGAAACCCGCCCAACCTGGCCACCCCCCCCCCTGGGGGCGGCGTGTCTGTGCCAGTAACAAAGATGGCGGGTCCTGGCAAAGCGCTTGTCACAGCGGCAGCTGGAGGGCGGGGAAAAAACGTGCGGCGATTTCCGGTTTGGGCGGAAGTGGCGCGCTCTCGCCTTTCCGTCGGTGCGCGCGTGCGTGTGCGTGTGTGTGTGTGAGCGGCAGCGCTTCGGCCGGCGCTCCTCTTCCCTCATCTCACCTTCCCTCCTCCCTCCCTCTCTCTCCTTCCGAGCCATGTTCAGAGCCGCCCTGAGGTGCACGTCCACCGGCCTGGGGGTCTGGAGACGGGCGGCGGTGGTGGCGGCGGCGGCGGCGGGCAGACGGCAGGCGCCGACAGGTAAAGAGCCTCGAGGGGAGGGGAGTGAGGAATGGAGGGGAGTGAGTGAGTGAGGGAGTGAGTGTGTGTGAGGGGCTCCCGCCCGCCCGCCCGCGCGCGGCGCTTCCTCCTGTCACCTTCAGCCCTTCAAACGCTCCCTCTCGGGGATAACGGTCCCCGTCCCCCCCCGTCCCCCCCGCGTCCGCCACCGTTACACTACACTAACGTGTAACGTTCAGGGGCGCGGGGGGTGGGGGGAGAGCGGTTGGGGGGAAGAGACTGAGGCGAATAGAGGTCGGGGCCGGGCCGGGCCGGGGTGTGAGACGCGGCTGTCTGGCTGTTGTGCCCGTGTGACCTTGCAATGACCCGCCCGGCACTCAGGCTCCGAGGCCTAGTCACATCCTCCGTGTCTGTGTGTGTGTGTGTTGGTGGGGGTGTGGGTGGGGAGAGGGGTGTGGGTGAGGTGATGTGGGGAGAGGTGATGTGGGGATGGGGAGTTGGGGAGAGGGATGGGGGAGAGGGGATGGGGGGTGGGGGAGAGGGGATGGGGGGTTGGGAGTGAGGGATGGGGGGGTTGAGAGGGTGTGGGGTTGGGGGGGTGGGGGAGAGCAAGTGCACAGATAGAGAGAGAGAGAGAGAGAGAGGGGGGCTTGTGGTTTTTTATATATATATACCCACACACAGCAGCATTGGACCTTTCAACGGAGTCACATTGGGAAAGGATCTCAAGCTCCAGTTTTGAATAAAATTATATATATATTTTTTAAAAATCGCCACTTTTGAAACCCGAAGGTGAATCTTTGCTGCTGAAGAAAGAGTGCGTTGGTTTGCAGGGTTGAATGCTTAAAATAGCAGGTTATGATTCAAGGTCATTTTCTTTCCCGTAGCCATTCTACGCGACACTTGTCAAATGTCTGTGTTTTATTCTTTGCAATGTCACTCGTATGCACAATTTGTTCAGATCTATCCCAATTTTTGGGATTTGTAGATTGCGTATTTTACATTCATCTTATTAACTCCATATTACAAGTATTTGCATTTTACACCCATTGTCCTTGAGACTGAATCATTGGAATTCAATGTTTGTACTTAGTTGAATATTTGATACAAAGGGTTAAACTATTGTCAACTATGTAATCTGTTTTTTGATTGCGAAAGTCATTTGCAAAGGAAAGGAAATAGAGGCGTGACTGTACTGTAATGCTAGTAGGATGTGGGTTATAAACCGACATAATGTATTTCTATGGTGAGGATTTTAGCTGAGCTTCTTATCTCCATTGTTACAGTGGGAAGAAAAATATTTGAGGGGCAAATCACTTAAAGATTCCTGCTCTTTTGCTGCAGAACTAATTAGGCAGCAAGGATTATTCGTAATAATCTGGTAGTCTGCCTCCCCTTTCTCTTCCTCGCATCTCTTCCCTCCCCCTCTCAAAAAAATAGGAAATTATAGTGTGGGGAGAAGAATAAAATAACTTTTTCACAGTGATGAATAAAAGGTCCCATACTCCCCATCTATTACATTTAATGTCACAATGATAATTATATTTAAAGGAATATGTAAAAATAATGACCAAATGTGTATATTCCAGAATATTGACTGGGTTTAAGAACAGGGCTTGAATTCCTGAGATTGTAGAAAGCTTCATCACTGAAATTAATTTTGAAAGTCAATTTTGTTCCTGGTAGGGATAAGTAGTGTTTAATTAATGTAAAATTAAATCATAATTAAAAATGAAAGCATTTTCCTCTGATGTAAACCATTTGCAATCCTGAACCTCTGATGAAATTTGGTAGAAATCTTTCATTTCCAACGTTAAGTGANTTTTTTTTCATTTTGAACTTGGTAGCCTAATGTGGCTCGCTGAGAAATCGGATAGCAATTTAGGTTCCATAGAGATTGGTTTTTGGTCATCAATCCTTAAAATTTACATTCAGTAACTCACAAAAACTATCAATTTTTCCTTCAATATATCTGTTGAGAAAAATCTGACTAAATAGTTAATCAGTTTTCTTGGAAACTTTTTTAGCTTTATTCTATCAATAATTTACATTTCCCAGTAATTATATGCAGTAATTATATGGCATAAACCAGCCAATCAGAAGGTTAACTTCAAGCTGTCATGTGCTTTGATAACGTAAGAGGTGAAACAAATTGTTCCATACTACCTACACTCTGACAACTTGATCGTTTGCCATTTGCATTGACATAAGAGCAATTTAAGCGTGCAATTGTTGGCTTAGAAACTGTAGCATTGTGGAATCCATTTATAACCTCTAATATGTCATATTTCTTGGCATCTTTATCACTGTTTCAAGCTGCTCTTTTTTGCGCAAGTTGTAATCCTTTAAACTTTTTGCTAAGCTTTTTCTTTGTCTCATCTTACTTTCTTTGTTCCTCTTTCAAACCACCCCTTCACAAAGGATGAAGATTTTGCAGTATTCAGAATATTAACCTTGGTGATCAGCCTGCTGTGTAATTTCTGTTTTTTGTTTAGGATTTCTAATGTTTGCAGTTTTCCTTATCTCTGTCATAATTTACACTTTTTAATAGGAAAATAGCTGCACAAGCTATTTACTTAAATTGCCACCGCTAAGATGTACGAGAACTAGGTTCTAAGTTAGAATTAACACTCATTAACATTTTCTTTCTGATTCCAGTAGTCTGCGTTTAACATACAATGCAATAGAACTGTTTCTTGGTATAGTTATAATGCAGTGCTTGACTTACAAACAAACTTTACCTTCATATTCATATCCTGATTGTAGATACCTAATGTGACAGACTTCATATTACCTGTATTTTAGATGCAAAGTAGCCAGAGCTCACTTTTTGATAGTACATTACAACCTTGTTAGTTGCACCTGGATCAATTTCTATTGCAGCATATTTTTCAAGATTTGTATTCAAGATGGTAGAGTATGATTTTGACTGTTGGGTAACTTTGAAACTTGGGTAAATTTGTCTTTTCATTGGCCTTATACAGCATGGACTATTCTCTCTAACTCATTAATTTTTGTTCATTTACGTATTTGTGATTATGTTGCTACTTTTGGTTTACCTCAAGTTATGTTTCACTTGTGGTTGAAAGTAGCTTGTTTGCATCTCAAGCCTATTACTCAGAATTACTTGACTATTAGTAACTCAGGATAGGCGATGTGGGGAAGAAAGGAGAGAAACAACTCTGCTCAGTCTGTCACGTTTTCTTCATTATTTTCCATTCTTTTTTATGATGAGATGTCTGGATTTGCAGAGATAAGAGAATGTAGTGCAAAAATGCAGAACATATCAGGAATCGGGCCATGCCCATTCGGTGATAGGTTGAAATGTTAGAATTGGATCCCAGTGAGAATTTGGAAGTTTTGGGTTACTAACATTTTGGTTGAGTTCTAGCAGAAATGCCAGGTTAATCTTAACATCTCTATCGATTCAATTTAAACATTTCCAGGATATGTCTATGCCTGGAACAGGCAAACTACCTTGGCCTAAATTGTGGCTTCTATTTGTGCTAGATTATGCGCAGGACAGAGGAGTCCCTCCCTTCCCTCCCCTCACCCTGACCATTTCCCCCTGCTCAGGTCCTGATCCAACTGTACAGCGCCTTGGGACGTCCTCCCGACGTGAAAGGCGCTCTATAAATGGAATCGTGTTGTTGTTGTTGACAGGCTTTGATGTGTGGTTCACTGACACAGTTTAACTGGAATATTTAAAAAAAAATTGACTCCTCTGCAACAGACATTTTACAGTAGCTTCCACTCGAGATTGCGAAATTGTATGCATTGAACTTCATGGCTGTTGTCATTTCTGCTCTTGTAGGGGAGTAGGGGTTTCCACTTCTGTTAGAGAACTGAAAAGTCTTGTGGTTTGGTTCCATCACTTAATGCTCAAAATATGCCAGACTGATTTAAGTTGCTGCTGATCTTGTTCCGCTGTTTCTTTTATCTGTGGTATTTGGGATAGTTGTGCATAACTGTACAGTTATTCTAACCACTCTTGCATTTTAAGAAAAGATGGGAAAAACTAAGATGGTTTGGAGATGGATATGGATGCAAATGTATTCTTTTTGTTAATCAGTTTTGGTTCTGTTTTATTCACCATTTGAAAGATAGAAAGATCAAATGAGGAAGTGCCATTTGGCACACTGAAGCTCATTCCTCCAGGACGTGCTTCTGCGTTTGCATAGAGTGGAGATGGAATTTGTAAGCATTAAGCTCTGAATGTCCTCTGTTTGACAGTTGCCCTTGCTTCTCGCTGGTATTCACATGGCAGAGAGGAGACTGATGAAGAGTTTGATGCTCGTTGGGTGACATACTTCAATAAGCCTGATATTGATGCCTGGGAACTAAGAAAAGGTAAGCTTCAATTCTATTTGAGGAATCATTTTTTTCTCATACTGTAGCTATTATGAAGGAGGAAAATGTCAGCATCATATTTAGTCTCTAATACTGCCTGGGTTCAATTACAGGCAGGGCAAAACCTTAGGCAAGTTTCCTTACTCCACATGCCTAATAATAATCTCTCCAAAAAAATAATAATAAATTGGTCATTTTCAATCCACGATTGTTTGTGGGACACTGCTGTGTGCAATTGGCTGCCGCGTTTCGCCCACAGCATATTCTGTGAAGCTCTTTGAGATGTCTAGAAGACCTGAAAAGCGCTTTATCAAATGGAAGGATTATTATTATTATTTTCTTACTGGAGTAATATGAGTGGCGGGGGGCAAAAATAATTACGATGAATATGTATTTTGGGAAAGCATTTCCAAAAATTATTTTTTTTACGAGGGAGAGGACATTTGACAGTGCGCTGTAATCTCTCACCCACTGCTCTTGTTCTGTTCCTTTGCTCTTTCACATATTTACCCTTTATATCTTCATTCCTTAATTGCTAATAGAAATAATCTTTCACAGTTTATCCTTTTGAACCTGTTCCTTATTACATAAAATGATGTAGAACGTTACAGGCCCGATGGGCCGAACGGCCTCCTTCTATACCGTAATATTCTATGATTCTAGGACAGGAACATGCTATTCAGCCTAATCAGTCTGAGTTTCTCAGTATTTCAGGGTAAGTGTGCTGCATTGGTGTATAACTGAATCTTGATTTTCTTTAATTATACCACATAAATCTCAAGATGTTTGAAAGGTTTGCATATTACAGCCAAAGACATTTTAAAGAAAGACTTGTACATTGTGGATGAAGAGCTGTAAAAGTTCCTAGTTGTTTGACAAGTTAACAAGAAGTGCATAAATTGTCTCACAGTTGAGAGGATGATGTTGAAAAATACATCTGACAATCTTTGCTCCATGTTCCATTTCTGACCTTGAACATTAGTGTTTTGCTATATGCTAACCTTTGGAAATGTAATAAACATCTAGATAAAAAAAACAAGGTAGCTTCTTTCGTTGAGTAGCAGAGCATTTCCAAAAATTTCTCATTTCATAAAATAATAATTTTTTTCAATAACATACCAGCAGAAAGAGCTTAATGTATCTGAATATAGATCTCCAACAGGAACTGATGCTGTATGTATCTTGTATGATTTACATTAATATGCTGTTTTCACATCACGTCATTAGTAAATGTGTGAACTGTTGTACTACAGTCGTAAACTGTGTTTATTATTTGACAGGAATGAACACCTTAATTGGATACGATCTCGTACCTGAGCCTAAAATCCTTGACGCAGCTTTGAGGGCATGTCGTAGATTAAATGATCTAGCCAGTGCAATCCGTATCCTAGAAGCAGTGAAGGTCAGTTCAATTTAAACCACACCTTTCAGCAATCTTGTTAGCTTCTCAACTTTATAGTTTTGACTAAAAGAGAATCTGATAACATTTTAAATTCACTGGAGGATATGGTGATCGAGCCCCACTGGGGAGTGGTAGGTAAAAGCATTCATCTCTCTCTGCTTGAATTATATTATCTGACGGTTGTTAAATTAATAGGTTGTGAAGGTTTTGTCCTGTTGATCCCTCCTCAAAGAAGCTCTGTAGTGCCCCTATTTAAACAAATGTCAATATTTTGGAACAAAGTGAAATAAAGTTATGTCAACGAGTCTGAGACATAAGAAGTTTCGTTTTCAAAATCTGAATATAACAGATTAAAAACAAATTCAAAATTTTCCAACATTTGACACTGTAAAAATTCTTTAGTATTTTTATGAATTATCACTGAAATTTTATTGTCAGATGGTTCTTTTGACTACTTTCCTTTGTAAATTGTCTTAAATCAATAAGGTGTTTAATAATAACTTTTGTCCAATCCTTTTGCATTCTCTTACCCGTGTATGGTATGTGGTCCTGATTAGAAACTGTTGTGAATTGCTACACATTAGTTGCCATTATGCATGATTACACTTATTCTTTCAAAAATACTGGTCTCTTCTGAATGCAGTATGAGGAACTGTGCAGAAATAGGATTCTGCTGGGCTCTTGTATGAACTGCAAAATGTAATGTGCCATTATTGAATTTACTATTATGTTAGATATTTTCCTTACACCTCCTTTTACTTCTATGAATTGTGATTCTTACCAGTAAAGATTTGTAAATTGCTGTTAAATAATCTGAGGGCATAATGATTTTGTAAACTGATACACTTTGGACAGGCCTATTTTTGAAATGTAATGGAGAGGCTTGAAAAGCATACTCGATTACTTTGGTAGGCCATTTGCTGCTATTATTTGGCAGTTCTGATTCTCCGCATGAATGCTAGTTGCAATAAACATGAATGTTTATATGGGTTTGACACTTTTGGAGAATTTTGGGGAGATGACAGAAGGGTGGAATAATGTGCCCTTGAAACTAAATTCCCAAAGACATTAACTCACAGGTTTAAATTTAGGCAGCGGTCTTTAATTTTGACTGATTGCGAGGTTAATATTATTTTAGGAAAGTTCTAGGTGATTTTTTTGCCCACTGTGACACGAGTGAGCTTTTATAACTGGTTTATGTGCTTCAGTAATTGAAATCTTGCAGGACTTTTGGAATCTTGTACACTTCCTTCTTAAAACACTGATATTGACAATAATATTTCTTGAATTCTGGATTCTTCAACAAGTTTGAGTGAGTTCATCAATCCGTAATCTTTCTGGCACATGCTCTTTTACAATTGTTTTGAATATCTTTAATTATTTGTGATTGTGGAGAGTCATTTCCATCCTTTCCTTGTGCATTCCAAGACTTTGAAATCCAGACTCTTCTGTTTATGTAGTTTATCAATTTGACTTGTATGTTTTCTCTTTTAGGACAAAGCTGGCCCTCACAAGGATATTTACCCTTATGTGATTCAGGAACTTAGGCCCACATTGGATGAGTTGGGAATCTCTACCCCAGAGGAGCTCGGTTTAGACAAATTATAAATCCAATACTTGGTGAGTTTATATCAATGTTAGGTTCCCTTTTAATTTGTTCTTTTAAATTCGACCAATTACTTTTTTTTGTCACATCACTCCAGAAAATGTTCGGCAATCAATGTCTGTAGGCTCTATTCTGTATTTGATGCAGTCAGATTTTAAAGAAGGGTGTGACTGCTTTAAGAATAGAATTGTCACAATGAGTTGGGCACAAGAGAAGCAAATTAACTTCTGATCTCTCAATGAAAGATCCTGAAAAAGAATGCATCAGATTGAGTCTTGAATTTCAATACTGAGCTGAGAAGAATCTGTTAGTTGATGTATACAGCATGTGAGAAACATACAGAAAACCAGTGAAACACCAGATTTTATACTTGGTGTTTAAAACTACTATATTTCCCCATTGATTGGCTAAATCTGTTTAATATATGTATACAAATACAGCAACAATGACTTGGATTTATATAGCGCCCTCCACTCCAGATGGAGTCTCAGAGCGCTTTAGTTTAGCAGAGCGCACATAGTTGTAGGTCCACAGCTATGAGGACTAATGCTTTGTCAAATTTCTTCCAGATAGTTTTCTGAAGATCTTCTGAAGTGATTCTACATTCTCCAAGATGTGGCATAAAATGTGTATTCAAAATTTGTCTTTATTCAGTTGTATGTATTATGTCTATCCTTGAGATCAATTCAATAAAGAGACAAAACTTCAGATTATATTGTACAGACTGTGCATACATTTTGGCTAGATTGACTCTTGGACTACTGCAGCTCAGGAAATTCCATTTGCTGTAACAGCCTATTTCAATATTCAGTGTGCACACTAATACATAAGATAATAAAGCTATTCAGGTTTTAGCACTAGTTTTATTACTGCAATGTAGCCCTAAGTTACAAATAAACCTATACATCTACATTTGCCCTGCCTTCTTTCCCCTCTTATTCCCTCCCCCTTTATCTGTTCATTTTGATGGTGGGATCCATTGGCTGAAACGCGGCAGCCAATTTACATACATCAAAGTCCCACAAACAGCCATGAAGTGAATGACCAAGTTCAGCGCCTCTCTCTCTGGTCAAACTTGCCACACCCTCAGTGTTAGGAGCAGGTTGCTAGGTGATGCCAGGCACAGTTGCATTGCATTCTTCCACCTCTTAACAAAAATGTTTTGTTACAGGTGGAAGAAATAGTTTTAGGTGGTAACTTGGACCCTTTACATTGCAAGCATGTAAATTCAACTGATGCAAAAATTCTATTTGGGAATACAATATATTCTATATTTGCTCCAGTTGAACATTTTCCTCTATTTAATAATGTCACTACAGACTGCACTTTGAAAGATGAACGTGCTGTTGACTGTCCCAGTTGGGTTATCTCTCGTTTGTAAAAGCAATCTTTCTGTTGTGTATTAAGAACAGGGTTAAAACTTATTATTGAAGTTACAGGGTTCTGTTGCCAAACTTCAGTCAATTTGTTTGCATCGGGGATGTTCCTCATTTCATATAAGTAACGAGAATGATTATTCCATGCAAAAGTAATTTGTTTGGAGAAATTAGATTTTTTTCCCCAAACTTTCATTTAATGAACCCCCCACATTAGGAATCCAAATCAGTGCAGGAGACCAGATGTGTAATTCTTGTTGAGTCCCAGCTGGGCAATTTTGCAACAATTGACTACTGTTTCTATTACTTAACAATTTTCTTATCTGTGTGTGCGTTCACAGCACTGCAATAGGCTATTTATAATGGAAAGATGTTAACTGCTCTTTTGTGCCAGAATTGCTAGGTGGGTGAATTCGTAAAGAATTGATTTGATAGGAGACTACCATCTGAAAGTTTGAAGATACATTAATTAGTTTCGCATTTGATAGATTTCACATTCAAAATATGAATACCTCGGACCTGCTTGTTACTTTTTATCAAAGTTAAATATGGAATTTGATGTTCCATCTTGTTTATTCTTTTAGTCCCAATGAAAAATGATTGTAAAGGAAAATGCTGAGCCTATGTTTTGTTACAGGATGTGGAATCAGAGCTTCCAACATAAATTTAACTTGGCTTTTCCAAATGAGGTTCAGGGGACTTGTAACCAGCTACGTTTTTATTGCTGATTTAGAGACTACTTTAGATGGAGATTTTTCTGAAGTAGCCAAATGCCTAGATCAATTCTTTGAGCCTTCTATATTTGTGCAGAGTTTTCATGTCTGAGAACAGTGTTCCAGCAAAACCCACACACAAAGGTATTGGCCTTACAGCTCGCGAATGGGGCTGGTGTGCCATAAGTAGGTCGTCCTACTCTGAATAGGTGGTTTGTACAATGACTACATATTATATTGGCTGCTGCGTTTTGCACACAAAATACAGTCAATTCACTTTACAGTATATTCTGTGAAGCTCTGTGAGATGTCTTGTAGACGTGATAAGGCGCTATATCAAATGCAAGGATTACTATTATTATTAGGTGGGGAGGGGGCAACTGGGGGTAGAGGGAGGGGAGAATATGGAACGCCTCTTAAGGTGGATCTGAGAGGCAAGGAGGCCACATCTCATGTAAAAAAGACAAAAGTGAAAACAAGCATTGCAGTTTCACACAGGGGATGAGAGCACTCGCTTAACCTTTGTTCTACACAAAGAGCTTTGAATGTTACCATCTGGTGCTGGTGTAACATCTGCAAATGCAAGGATTATTATATAGTTGCTGTTAATGATTCGCCTATTAATATGATATCTTCTGTGGCTTGATAACTTGCAGACATGAAACCTGAACAAAGGCTACAATGTTTAAAATAGAAAACGGGGAATTGGTGGTTCATGAAAAATTAGATTTCGTGCTACACATTTTAGAAAATAATTAATTGTCACCATGAACCTTCTGTCACTCTGCCCCCACCCTCTGGAACACCATCCTGCAACCCTCCTCTTGCGTCCTTCAAGATCCATCTCAAGACCCTCTGTAACAGTATCCTCCTCTTCGACCGTGCTTTTGATCTCCCTACTCCCCCCCACCACCCCCCACCCTCTCTAATCCTGACTCCCAGCACGGGTCTGAAACTCTGACTGTCCAGCACCTTGGGACGTCCTCCCAACGTGAAAAGCGCTTTACAAATGTAATTTTGTTGAACCTAAATATCTGTAACTTCCCATCTCCCACCCTTGCTCCTTACTTACAAATAAAATTTGTGAAGAACTTTGAGAAATCTGGACGACCTGATAAGGCGTTATATCAAAAGCAAGAATTATTATTTAATCAGTAGAATGAGCTAAACCTGTAATGTACTTTAATTTCTTTATTATCTCGTGTATTTAGTAGTTTCCTTTTATATTAGTGTTCTCATGATTAGAACCTAGCTTCCTGCTGTTATTTTAATAAAATATTTTGGGAAGTTGAGGGACCATCAAAGTATTTCTAACATCAAAGTGGATCAACAATGTCTGAGTGGAAAGGGTTAATACTTTCTCTTCCCAGAAGATTTTGTTCAATCTTCCAATTAATACGCACTGTGAGCTGGGGTAAAGGTACCCGACGGAATACAAAATTGCTTCAATATCCTCCATCTGCAGTTTTATTTTTATCCTGAAATCATAAGGTGGTTTTAGTAATTTGTAATATCGTATGGGATTAGTTCGGAGTTCCCTGGAGAGCAATTTATAATGTATCTCCTGCTATTATTCCAGGTATTGCTGACTTTTCCTCTATCATTTTTGTAAGGAACTTTTCTTTTCATAGGGGACCCATTTTCTGGCATCAGCGAACGTCCAAGGTTCCTTGAGATGATATCAGCACAATTGTTTGTACAGTGCTTCAGATGGAGACAACTCCCTCCCCATACCAATGAAAGCTGAGATACTGCACTCGGAATGGTCTTTCATTAGTATCTGACACTGTCAGAGTTTCAACGTGCAGAGCAGGCATTACAATATGAAGACTTATTTATCATTGTGCATTTACACTTAAAAATTGCCTGTAATATTTTACATAGGTTTAACCACTTGAATGCAGATAAATCGTTAATACTTTATGGGAATTACAGTATTTCTGCTCCGTAATCTTGCTGAGAGGGTCCTATGTGTGTGTGTGTATATATATAGTAATTGTTGAGTTTGTGCACGAGAATGCAATGCCACAGAGCAGTGGGATACAGCTTAATTTCCAGTCTACCGTAAACTGACTTCTGATCTTAGCTGAGGTGTTGATTTGAGGCTACGCACATTCCCAGCTGGTGCTATAGGCACAGGGATTTGAATGTCATTGTTGGTTATGAAATTAGTGACCTCCTCACCTTCTTGGCTGGAAGTGGCATTAGGCATTGAGAGACCATTAAAGCAGGAAAACATAGATACCTGGTTGTGATAGTCTCGCCTTGAAAACCACCCTTTGACATCAAAATAATGAGGCCCTGAAGTAACTACAATACCTTGTGTAGTGTTGGAAATTCCCTTTTAGTCAGGTGGTTGGGTGAGGGAAAAGATGAGAATCTATAATAAATTAAGGGCACGTTGATTTTCTTTAACTTGTTTTTCTTGTTTTTTAATTTATTTTTCGCTTCACATTTATTTAAATACCTCTGCAGTCCACGTTTTCATCTTTGTTAATTGAAAGATGTTGGATTCCAGCTTCCTTTTAGCTTTTGTTCTCAAGTTGGAGCAGATTCAGCTTATTTTGGCTTTGCAAAGTCAGTGCTCTAGAGATCATCCTTTATCATTTGCAATCTTTACCTTTCTCTCACAAAATATACAGTCGATTCACTTTACTGTATATTCTGCGAAGTGCTTTTGAGACCTCTCGAAGATGTGCTATATCAAATGCAAGCATTATTACTTTAAAGGTTTTTACCAAGCTCATTTGTAAAATATTCCAAACTCAGATCCCAGGACTCATCACTGACATATGAAAGAAATAACTTGCATTTTCAGAGCACTATATAAGTCAAAATCTCACAAAGTATTTTTTATAGTGACTTTTTTGAACAACTATTTTGTATGAGTTACCAATTTATCTGGAGTTGTGATGGCCAGGACACTAGGAGAAACACTCTCTTCAAATAGTTTCTACGTGAAGAACAGGCAGCGAGTCCTCTATTTAAACTCTCAACTGAAGGAAAGTATTGGAGTGTCATCCTTGATGTACGTGCTCAAGTCCAGGTATGAAGTTTGAACAGAATACCTCTGACCCAGAGGTAAGACTGCTGCTAACAACAAAGCTGACACCCAAATAGCACTGTTCACAGATATTATCACAACTATCACTACTGCCTAAAAAACATTTGTCTATTATTCTCAGGAGCTTTTTCCTTAAGCTTCTTGTGAAATTTCTGAAACCTGTTTTAATAACTGGCTTGGTGACCAATCGTATTTCATAGAAGATCATGTAACATGAAAGGGATTTTTTTGGAGGGGAGGCTGGGGGCAGCCTTGCCTGACATGTAGAAATCCATCACCGTGCTTAGGAGTATCCAAACCAAGCTGAGAGTTCCATCCCACCTATACTTAAAAAATCCTGAGGTATTTGTTGGAATGTCTGAGACGCTAACCTGCGTGGAGGGTGCTATGTAAGGGCAAGTTGTTGTTAGAATGGAATGCGTACTCTCCCTGAAAGCAGGGTGTGTTTCCGAGCAGGCAATTAAGCTGTTCTTAACTTTCCTAAAATTTTTCACTGATGTGGTAGTTACCTGAAACAAGTAACAGACAATCTTGCACAATCATATTTTCGTGTCTCACAT